TACATAATATTTGATGGAAGCAGGATATGGTAGAAATGGAATGAAGATTGGATGTACTTAACCTAGAAGAGTTGCAGCTATGTCTGTAGCAAAAAGAGTAGCTGAAGAAATGGGAGTATAACTTGGAGATGAAGTTGGATATGCTATTAGATTTGAAGATTGTACAGGTCCTAATACTATTATTAAATATATGACAGATGGAATGTTATTAAGAGAAGCTTTAATAGATAAAGATATGAGTTAATATAGTGTTATAATGTTGGATGAAGCTCATGAAAGAACTATTAATACTGATGTTTTATTTGGATTATTAAAATAAGTTGTTGCTAAAAGAAATGATTTCACTTTAATTGTAACATCAGCTACTTTAGATGCTGAAAAATTCTCTTCTTATTTTTTTAATTGCAAGATATTTAGAATTCCTGGACGTAATTTTCCTGTTGAAGTATTCTTTACAAATGAACCTGAAGAAGATTATTTAGAAGCTGCATAATTATGTGTTATATAAATCCATTTAGAAGAACCAGCTGGAGATATTTTATTATTTTTAACAGGATAAGAAGAAATTGATACAGCATGTCAAGTACTTCATGAAAGAATGAAAAAATTAGGTCCAGATGCACCAGAATTAATTATATTACCAGTTTATTCTGCTTTACCTACTGAATTATAATAAAAGATTTTTGAACCTGCCCCTGTTGGAGCAAGAAAGATTGTTATAGCTACTAATATTGCTGAAGCATCTATTACTATTGATGGAATATATTATGTTGTTGATCCAGGATTCTCTAAAATCAAAGTTTATAATCCAAAATTAGGTATGGATTCATTAATCATTGCACCAATAAGTTAAGCATCTGCTTAATAAAGAGCTGGTAGAGCAGGTAGAACTGGACCAGGAAAATGTTATAGATTATATACTGAATAAGCATTTAATACAGAAATGTTACCTACTTCAGTTCCTGAAATTTAAAGAACTAATTTAGCTAATACTATCTTATTATTAAAAGCTATGGGAATACATGATCTATTAAATTTTGATTTTATGGATCCACCACCTGTTTAAACTATGATTGCAGCTATGGAATAATTGTATGCTTTAGGAGCTTTAGATGATGAAGGACTATTAACGAAAGTAGGTAGAAAAATGGCAGAATTTCCATTAGAACCTCCTTAAGCTAAAATGTTATTAACAGCTGTTGATTTAGGATGTGTTGATGAAATTATTACAATTATTGCCATGTTATCTGAACCTAATATCTTCTATAGACCTAAAGATAGATAATAACTAGCAGATTAAAAAAAAGCAAGATTTCATAGACCAGAAGGTGATCATCTAACTTTATTAACTGTTTATGAACATTGGAAAAAAAACAATTTTAGTAATGTTTGGTGTCATGAAAATTATATATAAGCAAGATCTATGAGAAGAGCTTAAGATGTAAGAAAATAATTATTATAAATTATGGAAAGATATAAATTCTAAATTACTTCTTGTGGAAAAGATTTTTGGAAAATCAGGAAAGCTATCACTGCTGGTTATTTCTTTCATGTTGCTAAAAAAGTATTTATTTTTAATATTTTTTTATAGGATTAAGCTGAAGGTTATAAAACTCTTTCTGATAATTAATAAGTCTATATACATCCTAGTAGTGCATTATTTAACAAAGGACCTTTGTGGTGTGTCTATCATGAATTAGTCATGACTTCTAAAGAATATATGAGAGAAGTATGTGAAATAGGTATTCAATTTATTATACATACTCTAAGAACCTAGATGGCTGATTGAAGTTGCTGAAAATTACTTTAAGGCTCATAATCAAATGGGATAACTCTCAAAAACTAAGAAATCAGAAAAATTAGATCCATTAAGTTGTAAATTTGGAGATGCTAATGCATGGAGACTAAGTAAGCGTAAAGGTTGATATTAATATTATATTTAATATTATTTTATTTATAATATGCTTCATATCCAATGTATTAATTCTTTACTAAATAGAACAAAGTGACTATCCTCAATTTATTTTTAATGCCAGAAGAGTCAGTCATTTAGTTTTATGTTAAAGTACACCTTCAAAAACTCAAAAACTTCAACTTACTGATTAAACACTTAAAAAAAATTCATTAATACATTGTTTTCGATTATTAAAAGGATATGCCGATGATTTAGATCTTAATCCAATCCAAACTGAAAAGAAAATATAAAGCAAGAAAATTATAAATTTAAAACCACTAAAGAATGTTATTGAAAAAATAACTCTAATGAGATAATAACAATAACCAAGAAGAAAATCAGCTTATGGAGACACATTTGGTGATATGACAGCAAAACAATTTTCTAATCTACCAACTATAATTTAACAACATCGCTAAATTGATGGTTAAAGATTTGCTTTAACAAGTTTTGCTGATATCTTAGAAAGAAAAAAATAAAAAAAAAGAACCACACGAAAACCAAGTTTACTTAGAAAATTCACATAACAAGATACAATTGTGGGTAGTTATTTCGATTAATTTTAGAATATGATAACATGGAAAGGCCTCCTTCATGCAAAACACCTCCTAAATAAATAATAATTAAATAATCTCATAAATCATAAATTGATTTAAAAAAAGAGAAATATTTAAGAATTTAAGATTTTAAGATGATTTAATTTTTAGCTGGGAAATCTGAATAATTAAAAGCATAAATAAATGGTAATAAAGCTCTTAATCTTAATGTCTAAACAACAACTCAATAATCTTCCTCTATTATTGCTAATCATAGAAATTCAGCTTTATTTCCTTCACTCCCAATTAATAAAATTAACAGGTGTATAACTAATCCTTTTGATACAAAATTTGGTCTTTAATTAAGTAGTCGTTCAATGAATAATCATCATACACCCTATCTCAAATAAAATTAAATACTGAACAAATTGATACAATCTGAGCTTAAAAATTTGGCTCATCCTTTTTAAAGATTAAGTTATCATTTATGATTATATTTGATGTTTATTATTTACTATTTTTAATAGAGTATTAATAAATAAATTTCACTCTTTTCATTCAATTGATGGTTTCCTAATAAATGAACTCTTTTTTGTCTAGGTTTATCTTAGAATTTAATGAATAGATTAAACCATCTATTATCTCTGTCTAAAACTAGATAAATCTTGATTCCTAGCACTATTTAAAATAGTGGGTTAACTATTGTTTTTATTATGAGATATAAAAGCCTTAGTTTTTTCTATAGTTCCCATTATTTTCTTATCAAATGGTTCCTTAAACTATTGTTACGATAATTTATTTATTTGATTCTCTTTAAAATTACGAAAAGAAATAACTTTATTTTTTTCTTATACTGCTAAATTTTTAATCCAAGGATGTTAGATTGCTTCGTTAGGTTTCATTCTTAATTCTGATTCCCAAACTAAACACTTTTATATAAAGTCAACCAAATCTTCTTCTGTTGTCTTCAGCAATTCATTTAAATTAATAGATTTTGGTTTTCTATATTATTTTATTGTTTTCTTAGGATATCCTAATTCATCAAAGAAAATTTTTTTTCTAGGACATTTCAATGCAAATTCTGGTTTAGGACTTCCTATGACTTCCATTATTAGATGAAATTATTCAATTTCATTTTCTCCTGGAAATAAAGGCTTTCCAGTATGAAGTTCAGCAATAACGCATGCTAAACTCCACATATCTATTTCATAAGCATAATTTAAACCAAAAAATACTTCAGGAGCTCGATAATATCTAATATATTATAAAAGCTTTACCTACTTTATATATAAGTAAAAAATTAATCACCTTCAAAACACCCAGTTCCAAAATCTACTATTTTAACTACTTTTTATTGAATATCACTAATCATAATATTCTCTGGTTTTAAATCACAATGAACAATATTACACTATCTTAAAAAATTTAAACCCTTAACAATTTGATAGGTAATTTTCTTTAAAGTTTCATAATCAAACCCTCTGAATAATTGTTATTTTAACATATCAAATAAAGTGCAATCTAATTTTTCAAAGACTAAACATTAATGCCCTCTAAATATAAAATGATCTTATAATTTAACTATTGCTTAAATATTCATTGGATCTTTCTCCTAAATTGTAAGCAATATTTTTGTTTCTACTTATGCTTACTTTTTTAAATTGTCTGAATTTCTTATTATTTTTAAAGCAAATATGTTTTTTGTCTTGTGATCTAATACCTCATAAACTTGTCCAAAACTTCCCTATCCTATTTACTTTATTATTTCATATTAATATCGAATGTGATCTTTCGTATTAGCTAGATAATCGCCATTTGGTCCTTCTGATGATATCTTCGATGGTTTATAATAATAAACCTAAAATTTCTAGAATAATTACTTATTTAAGTCCTGTCAATTCGCTAGTCTCACTTTTACTTAAATTGTATAGCTTAATAAATTAATCAACAAGAAGAGGAAATTTGCTGAAAGTGCTTTCTAATTCTGTTTGCTTCTTCTTTTATGGAGACAATATATTTTAACTTGAATAAGAGCTTTATACTAGTATCAAAGGTTAATAACTTTTGATATTCTTGGCAATTCCATTTGGACTATTTGGTTAGGTACTTATTTTTTTAGTTGATGATGGTAAAGAATTCTATAATTCAGTTTTGAATGAAGTAAAATCTAAATGAATCGAGAGTTTCTTAGGATTCGAATATTTCATTAATTCAACACTTCAGTTAAAATTATTATGAGATTTAATTTTATATTGATTGCACATTAATTCTTAATTATTTCAAGTTCATAATTATCGATAAAATAGATCATACTTCAATAAATTTTGTTAAATTTTCAAATAAATAATATAAGGTTTGAAAAGCTAAATATTTGTGTATTTTAAACTTGAATTGGTCTAAATTAATTTTTTTTTTTAAATTACAATATTTTTTCCGATATTTTGTGACATACTTCAACTTATATAGATAAATTCTTATTTATAAAACAATTATGTATTATAAAGTTAGTAATCATTCTTAGATTTAAGGCTATTGAAAAAATTTTGAATTAATAACTTAAAATTTTATTGATATTAAATTGATAGGAATTCTAAATACCAGACTTATCAGATATTATTTGATAATAAATAATCTTCAAGATTAACCTTTATGAGAAACTTTAATATTCTTTTTGTTAAATATAAATTTATTCTGAATTTAAGGAATCTAATTATTTAAAAAAATTATCATGTTTTTTATTTAATGTTCGCAAAAAACAAAATTAATAATCAGAATTTAATGGTATGATATAGAAAATCATGAATTACTTAAAAATGCTTTCATATTTATTTAGCTTTTCTTCATTATAAAATGTTTTTTGAATTTATGAATAATAATAGCCATTTTTAAAATTGATTAAAAGATTACAAAAAAGAATTTCAAATAATTTAAATATGAAATTATCATATCGAACAGAATCAGATTAGGATTAGAGTTAACTCTTGCAATTCGTTGAGGAAAAAAAACTAACAACTTATGGACTATCATATTAATTCATGATTAAACTAATATCTAGATTAAGCTAAAACAAAAAAGAAATTTAAGCTCAATTTAAATACAATATTTTGTTTATTTAAAACAATAAAATACTTAATACTTAAATTAATAAAGTAAATGTAAATAATATTATAAAATAATAGATGAGTAAAATAATTTAAATAGAATGAGTTAAAATAAAAAAATAGAAACAAAATGAGGTTTAATAATAAAAAATTTGGAGAATAAATTCAAAATATTATTTATTGTTAAAATACCTTGTATACTTAATAATTTAAAAAAAATATTTAAATTATCCTAATTGAAATTAAGATCCATCACTCTTATAATAATAACCAAAATATATCAAGAAAATACTTTTTATTTCAATTTCTAATTTTATTATTCTTTAAACTCTTTTATTTTTTTATCAAATATACTTAATTATCTCATTTACTTTTCCTTTTCTTCTTCATCTTCTAGTTTTTATTAATATGATAAATTGAAATTTTTTGTATAATCGGCTGAGAATTCTGTAAAATTATGAGCTAAAGCTTTTTCTACATTAACTTAGATACCCTTGTTCTCAGTTAATAATTTATATGAAATTCTTTATTTTTGTGATCTTGTTTTTTTTTTTTGTAATATAGTTGGCTTTTGTTTAAATATCATTTTTAGATTGGTTACTCTTGATGCAACTTTAATCAACTTTTTAATGATCTTAACTCCGAGTTGAAAATTAAGCAGGTAAACTTAGAATAGATTATTCTTTTTAGTATTCTCTGATGAGTGGCAAAGAAAATGGTTTTTTATCTGTATGAATTCCTTATATTAATGATTTATTCTAAGCCAATAAATGTTAATAAGACTCAAATATTCCTTATTTTTTCTTAAAACCTTTTGTCTTATATTCATTCAAGTATCTTGGAATGTAGATATCCTTTTATTTAATGATATATTCAGGCCTTTCAACAGAATCAATAGTTTATATTAAAGGATTATAGATTTGTATGGGAGGTAATTTTTTTGTTAAGTAATATGTAGGTTTATCATTTTAGATTAAAGCATCTTAATGCAAAGGACTATTAAATTATCGATTGTTTGGAAGATGACTTTAACTCTCACATCTCATTATGTCCTTTCCTTTCTTTTTAGGTTAAGGATCTCTATTTTCAAGAAATTTAAGCATTTTATTATTATAAAATATGAAAATTTCTATTAAGGTGTTGACAAGATAGATTAGTAAAGTAATAGAGAGATTTTTTGAATATTATATACAGTAAGTTGTTCGATTGGACACACATTATTAATTAAATTATTAATAAATTGAATGAGTTAGAAGAGATTGCCTTCGGTAAAAGAAATATTAATATCTCAAGGGCAAATAAGAGAGACATATATAGGCAATAAAGAAATATTAGGAATATGAAAATAGTAAAACAAGTTAAGCGAAGTTGAATGATATGATAAAAGTTAAATGTAAATTTATTTTAAGGGGACCAAAACAATTTAATTATTACCAAAGCCAGGTGAATTTGTAACAGTGGCTTCAGATAAATAATCAAATTAATAACCATATATGGATATTCCAATAAAAGATTTATTGGATGGAACAAAAACTTTTACAGAATTGAAACTGCAGAGCATAGAAAGATAAACATAAAGATAAATGAAGAAACCTAGGGAAAAGGATAGATTTGATGAAGGAGTATTGAGAAGAGATGATTTGAAACCACCATAAAGTGAATTAGATGAAGTATTTAGATATTTGTAATAATATTATAGTTTGGAGTAGAAAGAGGAGTTTAACCAAAATTTACATAAAATATTAGAGAGATTATGAAAAATTAGCATAAAGATATGTTAACACCAGCTGAATAATTGATTAAGGATTTATAAGATAAGAGATTACCTTAAATTTAACATTCTTATTCTTAAAAGATTGTTCGTCCAATATCAGCTAATTTTGTTATTAAAGCATTGAATATAGGTGAAGAGAAATTAGAGAATTCTAAAGGAATTTAATAATAGTTATTTCGAACAAAAAGAAGTTAAATGTAATCAGCAAAGCCTCGAAATCTTTATGTACCACATTTCCCAGAGGAAATTAAACATTTAACTGGCTATCAAACTATTAAATTGAAAGCAGATGATTTTATCTAAGCATATACAGAGGAATATATGAAAGAGAAGGAAGAGAAAATGTTGAAAAAACATTTTTAAGTTTCTGCGGTTGATCCACGATTATAATCACCTTATATGAGAGTAATAAAATTTATTAATCATATAAGGTCAATCCAAATACCGAGTAAATCATCAGAGAGAAACAGAATGAATTAGGAGAGCTAGAATTGACAAAACATAGAGAAAGAATGTTTATGGCTTAACCTTTTGAGATGAAATAAATCTTCTTACCTTTAGATTATTATTATATGGAAGACGAGACAGGTGATGAATTAATAGAATAATATAAAGAATAGGATGGGAAGTGTTTTGGATTTTCTAAATGGTTTGATACAAGTGGAAATTTTACATGGGAAGAATGTTTAGTTGAAAAATATTTATGTGATACTGATATGTATGAGATAAGATTTATAAAATAAAATAAGACTAAATTAGTAACAAGGGTTAATTTAAGATTTAAAAGAGAAAGTGAAGCGTATTTTAAATAGCAATTAGATATTGCAGATTATTATAGAAAGAGAAGCGAAGTTTTTATTAAATATAATTATATGATTGATAAAATGGATGATGCAACTTCTCATATTTAAGAAGATTAATTAATGAGAATATAATTATTTGCAATGGGAATTTATTTTAAATTAGGTTCTGTTAGAGATCCTATTGCATTTTATAAATTAGATCCATCAATCAAGTTTAATTTTAAAAGATATTTAATTCCTAAATAATTAAGTAGAATTGATTAGGCTCCAAAAGAATTGTGTAAATTAAAAAAATACAGATATGATTTGATGATTGAGTTGTCTGAAGAAGTTAAAAAATAATTCATTAGAGCAAATCATGAAATTTAATTTAAAAGAATGTTACCATATCACGAGGAAAAGAAAGCTATTTTTAAAGGTTATTTACCAGAAGAATTATTTGAACCAAAATATGTGGAAGCTAGATTTCCCTCTTATGGCATAGGGTAATAAAAGTTTATTGAATTATTTACATATATGAAAAGGAATCTTCATTAGGCTGTTTAAGAAAAGAACAGAGCTTTATAAGATGCAAATATTAATTTGATTAAATTAGAAGAACAACATCTATTTTGTTAAAACTTTCTAGAACCTCAAGAACTACATGAATTAGACAAAGATATGAAATTTAAGATTGGTGATGCTATTAGAGATTTGAAAACCAGAATGTATGATGTTCATTACTTGATTATGGAAATGATAGAAGTTGAAGTTAAATAACTTAAGGTAATAGAAGAAGAAAGACTTCGATTAATTGTACTGGAAGCTGAGAGACTTAAAATATAAGAGTAGGGTTTAATGAGCGAAACACTTAAATTATTACAACAATTTCAAAAGTTAATTAACATTAAATTTGAACGATCTGGATTAGAAATGTGGTAAAGAAGTATTAAAAGATTTATATCTTATCTCAAAATAGATGTTGATCTAACACTCCCCCCTTTGCAATAAATTTACCAATACGCCAAAGATAGGGAATATCGAATCTTTCATGATAATTTATTAATAAATATAGAGATTAAAGTTCAAGGACTTTAGTTGATTTTAGAACCTAATCCTGAAGAAATCAAGAGATCTTTGAATAATTATGTTTGGCTTGCTATTAAAGAGTTAACAACAGTACCTTGTATGAGAAGTAGAGAAATTGAATCTGCAAGAGAAGATATGATTATGCATATTTTTACTGGCATTGATGATATTGAAATTCTCAATAATAAATAAATTGTTTAACAATATTTGGATTTAAATTTTAATCTCTTTATTGTATATTTTGAGAAGTTAAAAGAATTTGAATCAATTTTGGATTATGATATAGAAAAAAAATTGAAGAAAGGATCATTTGAGGAATATGCTAAGGAGTTAGATAAATTAATTATGATTAGGGATGATATGTAAAAGTATATGTTTAAGAAAAAATTGAAATTGGGATATTATTATTTGAATGTAGAACAATATTAATAATTATGTGATGATAGATTAAGGAAAGCTTCTGATAGTTTGTATGAGAATTTAATTTAAAAGATAACGAAGGAAAATTTAAAGATTGAAGGTGAAATAAAATAGATGATATAGAAGTTAACAGACGAGCCAAAAAATTTAGAGGAGATGGATACATTGAGAACATATGCAAAGGATTAATTGAAAGAGGAATTGGTGATAATGAGTAAGAAAATAAATAAGGTGATGGAGAAGATGACATTGATGGAGAAGATGAATTATAAGATAAGTTATTAGAATTTTGAGAAAACATGGAATATATATGGTATGCCATTAAAGTTGATGAGGAAGTAGGAGAAGTGTTTAAAAAGATTGTAGAATAATGAGAAGAAATTTTAGGAAGATTTGATGACATAATAGGGAGAATTGATAGGAGAAATAAATTACATTAGTAAGGAATTAAATGAATTGATAAATGAAGAAGATATAAATTAAATAAATCAGATAGCAAATAGATTTGCAGATTTAGGTGAGAAGATGGAGAGAGCAATAGAGGAAGCTGAGATAATAAATAGAAGAGAGGGAATATTAAAGTGGAAGTTAACTGATTATTAAGAGGTAGACAAGATAAAGAAATTGTTTACACCGTATTATAAGGTATGGGCATTGGGTAGAGATTATTATTTTAAAATACCACCAGCTTTGAGTGGACCATTAAATAATATAGATAGAGATTAATTAACATAAGATGTAACAGAAGCATGGACTGAGTTATTTAAGTTAGAGAAAACAATTTTTAAAATAATTCCACATATGTATTAGGTGACAATGGCTATAAGAAAGTTGTATGAAGATTTTAAACCATATTTACCATTGATAAATGATTTAAGAAATCCTGCTTTAAAGAAATAACATTGGGTTAGTTTAACATAATTATTGAAATTGGATGATGATCCAAATTTCTCATTGAATACATTATTGGAGAGAGGGGTGATGGATTTAAAAGAGGAAATTAGAGAAATAAGTGAAACAGCATCTAAATAGAGTTCATTTGAAAGATCGATTAATAAAATGAAGAGTGAATGGAAGAATATTAAATTTGAATTAATTTAGTTTAGAGATACAGATACATATATATTAAAGAGTGTAGAACCTGTTTTAGATAAGTTGGATGAAGATATAACAAAGATGATGAGTATAGCTAGTTCTCCATTTGTTGCATTTTTATTATAGGAAGTAAATTCATGGAAGGCATAATTGTTTAGATCTTAAGAAATGATTGAATTATGGTGTAAGACTTAGAAATCTTGGTAATATTTATAACCAATCTTTTATTCTGAAGATATTATACGAGAAATGCCAAAAGAGGGAAATAAATATTCAGTTGTAGATAAGATGTGGAGAGCATTAATGTTAGGAACTTTCTAATAACCTTTAGTGATGGAAGCTTGTTTCTAGAATAGAATGAAAGAGAATTTTATATTCATGATTGAGTAATTGGATTAGGTAATCAAAAGTTTGAATGACTTTTTAAATAGAAAGAGAACAGCATTTCCAAGATTTTTTTTTTTATCTAATGAAGAATTATTATAAATATTGGCATAAGCTAGAGAACCAAGAGCTGTATAAAGACATTTGTAGAAATGTTTTGAAGGAATAAATGAAATTACTTTTTAAGATAATATGTTGATAACACATATGATTAGTAGTTCATAAGAAATAATTAAATTATTGACAGATGTAAATCCATTGAATACAGAGTAAGCAGTAAGAGGTGTTGAGGATTGGTTATTTGAAGTTTAATAATCGATGAAATTAACAATCAAAACAATGATACCTTAGAGTGTTCAAATTGTATCTAATAATACTTTAGATAAATCAATAGTATAAATCCCTGCTTAATTATGTGTTTTGGCACATGAGATAATATTTACAAATATGGTAACTTAATTCATATAAGATTATGAGAAAGATTCTACATCAATAGATAAATGTATCTAATAAGCAAATAAGGTATTAATGAGTACAGTATAATTATTACATCATGAGATTTCAAATGAAAATCATTTATAAGCATTAGGTGTATTAATAGTACTATAAGTTAAATAAAAAGATATAGCATAAGAATTAAAAAGTAAGAATGTTAGAAGAGTAGATGATTTTGAATGGATGTCATAATTAAGATATTATTTAGAGAAAGATGTAATAGTAAAAATGTTGCATACTTAAAGAGTTTATGGTTATGAATATTTGGGTAATTAATCTAGATTAGTAATTACACCATTGACGGATAGATGTTATAGAACATTAATGGCAGCATTACATATGAATTTAGGTGGAGCTCCTGAAGGTCCAGCAGGAACAGGAAAAACTGAAACAACAAAAGATTTAGCTAAAGCTATGGCAAAACATTGTGTTGTGTTTAATTGTTCAGATTCATTAGATTATTTAGCAATGGGTAAATTCTTTAAAGGTTTAGTCAGTTGTGGATCTTGGGCATGTTTTGATGAATTTAACAGAATTGAATTAGAAGTATTATCAGTTATAGCCTAATAAATTCTAGTTATATAGACAGCTATTGTAAGAGACAATTCATAGAAAGTACCTTCTAGAGTATTTTAATTTGAAGGATAATAATTAACTTTAGATTCAACTTGTGCTATATTTATTACAATGAATCCAGGATATTAAGGTAGGAGCGAATTGCCAGATAATTTAAAGGCATTATTCAGAAGTGTAGCTATGATGATTCCAAATTATGCTATGATCACAGAAATCTCTCTATATTCATACGGTTTTACAGAAGCAAGAGAATTGAGCATTAAAATAACAACATCTCTAAAATTAGCATCTGAATAATTATCTACTTAATCACATTATGATTTTGGTATGAGAGCAGTCAAATCAATTATTTTAGCTGCTGGTAGATTAAAGAGAGAATCTACAACCAGTGATGAAATAATAGTATTAAGAGCCATTGAAGATTGTAACTTACCAAAATTTACTTAAAAAGATGTTCCATTATTTAAAGCTATCATATCAGACTTATTCCCAGGAATAGAACCAGAAGAAAGATAATATGGGGAATTGGGTTAATTGATAATGAAATAAATAGAATCAATGAGTTTAACTTATAATGATAGATTTTATACAAAGATTATTTAATTGTATGAAACAGTCAATGTTAGACATGGTTTAATGGTTGTAGGTGGTACTATCTCTGGAAAAACAACAATTATTAATATATTATCCAAAAGCTTATAAACACATATTTATGGATTGAATCCAAAATCTATTACTTCGAAACTATTATATGGAGATGTAGATGTTGGAACAAATGAATGGTAAGATGGAATTACTGCTGTTATCTTTAGAGAGTGTATTGAGAAGGAAGGCAAGAATTGGGTATTGTTTGATGGACCTGTAGATGCATTATGGATTGAAAATATGAATACAGTTTTGGATGATAATAAAAAGTTATGTTTAACTAATGGTGAAACTATTAAATTAACAGACTAAATGAGAATCATTTTTGAAGTAGAAGACTTAGCTGAAGCATCTCCTGCTACAGTAAGTCGTTGTGGTATGGTCTATTTAGAACCATAAGAAATTGGATGGCAGTCCTTAATATAGGTATGGAAAAGTCATTTGACTCCTAATTTTTAAGAACCCTAATATATTGATTTATTTCATTCTTTGTATTAACAATTAGAAGATGTTTTCGAAGAAATTAAATATAAATAGTTGATTTATACAGCATCTTAAGAATTATTGGCTTCTAGTTGTTTAAAACTATTTTTTGCTTTTCTTTTAAAAAACAAAACCAAAGATTAGTTACTTCAAGATATTGAGATGGAAAATATGAAAGAGTAATCTAGGTTAAAAGCATTATAAATGGAAGGAAAGGAAATAAGCAATGTTAAGAAAGTTAAGTAATTAAATGACAAAGAGAAATTTGAAGTTATTAGTTTCTTTTTCATTTCAGTTGTTTGGACTATTGGAACTTTATTAGATGTAAATTATAGAAAATAATTCAATCTATTAATTAGATAGAAATTAGAATCAAATCTTGAAGCAAATTAATAACCACCAAAAGAATTATCTGTGTTTGAAATATATTTTGACATTGGAAAAAAGAATTGGTTAATGTGGAATTAAAAATTAGACTTTCATATTCCAAAAGGAACAGTATTTCATGAAATATATGTGCCCACTCCTGAATCTGCAAGTGTATAGGGTTTACTAAGAGTATTTTTAAATAAATAATTACCTGTTTTATTATATGGAAGAACTGGAACAGGTAAGACAATGTTGATTAAGAAAGTTTTATTAGATGAATTAGATTAAAATAAATTTATTCCTACCATAACAGCATTTTCAGCTACAACCAATAGTGGTTAAGTGTAAGACATTTTAGAATCAAAACTAGAGAAATAGAAAAGAAGAAAAGGTATATATGGACCTGAGGTTGGTAAATGTAATATAATTTTTATTGATGATTTGAATATGCCTTAAAAAGAATAGTTTGGAGCACAACCACCACTTGAATTAATAAGATAATGGTTTATTTAATAAGGATGGTATGATAAAAAGTCATTAGAATTTAAAACGATTATGGATATTTAATTTTGTGCAGCCATGGGATTTGGAAGACCTAATATTCCTTAAAGATTAATTAGACATTTTAATATGATTTATGTTTTATCTTCATCAGATGATTCTATGATATCTATCTTAACTAAATTTTTTGAATATGGATTTGATGAATATATTGACAAGGTTAAATTGACTGCCAAAATATTGCCTAGTTTATGTTTAAAAGTTTATAAGGAAGTAAGTTAAAGATTTTTACCATTACCTTCAAGATCACATTATCTATTTAATTTAAGAGATTTAATAAAAGTGGTAAGAGGTTTGTTGATGGTACCTAGTAGTAAATATGATGCAACTGGAGATGCTAAATAGAAATTATTAAAATTATGGGCTCATGAAAATATGAGAGTATTTTCAGATAGATTAGTGGATGAAAAAGATCATAAATAATTTGAGTAAATTTTGATCGAGATTCTGGATGAAGATTGTACATTGAAATACTCAGATATTGTAGGATCATCCTGTAGGTATGGAAATTGGTTAGAACCACATACACTTTATAAAATTTATGTAGAATTGGATGATAATAATAAAGTTATGGGTATTCTAAATGAATACATTAGTGAATTTAATGATTTTTATCCAAAGTTGAAATTAAATATAGTGTTATTTGAAGATGCAATAGAATTTATTTGTAAAATCAATCGAATTATTAGTCAACCTTTTGGAAATGCACTCTTAATCGGTTTAGGAGGAACAGGATGTAGAACTTTATCAAGATTAAGTGCTTTTATGTAAGATTTCAAAATAGGAGAATTAGATTTTGATAAAGATATGTTAGAGTGGTATGAATTTTGGAGAGAGATGTTTAAGAATTTATCAATAAAGAATGAAAAAAGTATATTCTTACTATCAGATCAATAAATTATTACTGAAGTAGTATTAGAAGATATTAATAATATCCTTAATATTGGAGAAATCATAAACCTTTACAATTATGATGATAAAGAGAATCTATTAAGTGATTTCAAAGAGAATTTACAAAAAGATAGAGAAACTAGAATTCAAGGTAATATTAGCATGCTTTAGTTATGGGAATTGTTTGTTAAATAATGTAAAGCTAATCTACATTTAATAATTTACTTAAGTCCAGTCGGAGATAAGTTAAAAACTAGACTCAGAAATTTTCCGTCTCTTGTTTCTTGTACATCTATTTTATGGATGGAGAGCTGGTCTCAGTAAGCATTACAATAAGTAGCAGAACATTTATTACCAGATTCAAGTATTGCTTAAGCTTGTGTTGGAATTCATCATGCTGTTGAATCTATGACTGAAGTTTATTTATAGAGAACTGGTTATCATTATTATGTTACTCCATTATCATACATATAATTATTGAATAGTTTTCAATCTATGTATAATCAATATTCTAATTCTATTCAATAAAAGAGAGATACTTATATTAATGGTGTTAAGATGTTGGATGAATGTGGATTAGTTGTTGATAAAATGAAAGAAGAACTTGAGGCTTTATAACCAATTTTGGTCTAAAAAACTCATGAAACTGATCTAATCATGAAAAAAGTAGAATAGGAAACTGCTGTGGCAGAAGATTAAAGAATGAAAGTTAAAGAAGATGAAATTGAAACCTCAAAAAAGGCAGAAATTGCACAAAATATATCTAATTAGTGTTAGGAGAGGTTAAGTGAAGCAGAACCATAATTAGAAGCTGCTATTAAAGCTCTTAAGACACTTAAGATTTCAGATTTTGTTGAAATGAAAGCATTGAAAAATCCTCCAAAGCCAATCAGACTGACTATGGATTCTGTTTGTATTATGTTAGAGAGGAAACCTAAAAAGGCACCAGATGGAGGAGAAGACTATTGGGAAGAAGCTGTTAAAGTCTTAAGTGATCCTGGAAAGTTCATCAAAATGCTTGAAAAATATAACAGAAATAATATTCCAGAGAAAGTCATTTCCAAAATGACACAGTTCTTAGATAAAAATAAACAATTTTAACCTGCTCTTATTTCAAAGGCAAGTTAAGCTGCTGAAGGATTATGTTTGTGGGTACTTGCTATTTACAAATTCCATTTTGTTTATAAGGAAATTACACCTCTGAGAGAAGAATTTGAGAAAGCTTAGCAATCGTTAAAAGTTGCTCAGAATGAACTTGCTGCTAAATAATAATTATTACATGAAGTTGAAGAAAAATGTTAAGAATTAAGAGAAACGTTTGAAAATGAAAATTTCTAAAAATAAAAGCTTAAAGCATAAATTCAAGATTGTGAAGTTAAATTAAAAAGAGCTCTGGAGTTGACTAGTGGTTTGGCAGGTGAAAAAAATAGATGGAAAGAAGAATCAACTAAATTATAAAGTAACATCAAATCACTTTTAGGTGATATGCTTTTATCAGTTGGTTATTTATCATATATGGGAGCATTTACCATTTCATTTAGAAAAATAATTTTAAATAAATGGTAATAAATTATTAAAGAATAAAATGTACCAATATCAGAATCCTATTCATTACTTGATTGTTTAAGTACACAATTTGAATTGCAAGAATGGATAATCTGTGGTTTACCTCTAGATGATTTCAGTAAAGAAAATGCTATAATTATGCAGAAGGCTGATAGTTATCCTTTGATAATTGATCCTTAAGGATAAGCGAATAAATTCATTTAAAGAAAAGAAAAGAAAATAAATGAACAAAATTTTAAAGTTGCTAAATAAGATAGATACTTAGGGAATATCCTTGAAACAGCAGTTAGGGATGGCTAAATTTTACTCATATAGGGTATTGAATAATAATTAGATCAAATATTGGATCCAGTATTGAATAAGCAATATTAAATTGCTAATGGTAAACCAATGTTAAGTATAGGTGGTAATCAAGTTTATGTGCATCCTGGATTTAGGTTATATTTAGTTACTTCATTGTCTAATCCCCATTATACTCCATCAATTCTCACAAAAGTGACTTTAATTAACTTTACTATTACTCAGGAAGCCTTAAAGGATTAAATGACATCAATTTTAGTTAGAGAAGAAGATGCTTAATTGGAAGATGAAAAAATAAGAATAATGAATGATAACAACTATTACAAATAAAAAATGAAATAGATTGAATCTCAAATCTTAGAAATGTTATCTAAGACTGAAGGATCATAGATGTTAGAAGATGAAGCATTAATTTTATAATTATAATAATCTAAGATACTATCAGAAGAAATAACATTAAGATTAAAGGAGGCAAAATAAACAGAAGATAGAATAAATTAGAATAGATTGCATTATGATCTTTTATCTACATTTGCATCTCAGACCTATTTCACTATTTTGAAACTTCATTATTTGGATCCTATGTATGTATTTTCATTAGAATTTTATCAAAGAATTTTTAAGAAAGCAATAAGAATAGCAGAAAAACCACATCAAAAAAATATTAAGTAAAGAATTGTGTTTATCACTGAGTCATTAAAAAGAGTAGTTTTTTAGGAGATTAGTAGATCTATATTTGTAAAACACAAGAATCTATTTTCCTTTATGCTTTTGATAACTTGGTATAATAGTAATAATCTTATAAATAATAATGAGTTACAATTTTTATTGACAGGTTCTGTATTAAATGGAGAAGAATTAGATATAGAAAATCCAGATACAAAAATTTTCACTTAGAATTAATGGGAAATGCTAAAAAATTTACATTCAATTATTCCTGGATTATAAATAGAGAATAGTTAATCAATGATTTCTTATTTGGATGATCCATAGAGAAATGCAATACCTGAACAGATAAAACACTTGACAACATTTTAAAGATTATTATTAATAAGAGCAGCAAGACCATAATTATTTGGTTATTATATGAGAGAATTAATAGCTGAAGATTTAGGATAATATTTTACTTAGAATTTATTATTTGGTTTATTAGATAGTTTTGAAGATAGTGGAACAACAATTCCCTTGATATTTGTTTTGTAACCTGGAGATGATCCTTAAGAAGAAGTTAAGAAGTTTAGTTTTGAAAGAGGAAAAGTATTAACTTTTGTATCTTTGGGTAAAGGATAAGGTGAAAATGCTACTAATTTAATTATGGAATCTTTGGCTTTAGGATAATGGGTTATATTATAGAATTGTCATTTAGCAATTAGTTGGTTACCTTAATTAGATAATTTATTATAAAATATAAATAGTGAATTACATAAGAAGGAGAAAGACAAATTATTAAAAATTAATACAGAATTTAGATTATGGATGACTACAATGAGCACTCCATAATTTCCACAATAATTATTAATGGATGCTGTTAAAATGACTAAAGATCCACCTAAAGGAGTTAAGGATAATATTTAATAAATTTATATGAATTAGAATAGTTCAAAAAATGAAAAAAAATTTTATGAAAGCTGTGGTGATAAAACCTCAGAATTTAAATAATTTTATTTAGCATTATGCTATTTTCATGCAATTGTGAGAGAAAGAAGAAGATATGGACCTGTAGGATGGAATATAACTTATGATTTTAATGATTCTGATTTTAGAATTTCAATTCGTTAGTTGAAATAGATGCTTATGGAATATTCAGAAATACCATTTACAGCTCTAATTTATTTAACTGGAGAATGTTATTATGGAGGTAAAGTCACTGATGATTGGGATAGAAGATGTTTAAGAGTTCTATTGACTACATTCTATAGAATGGACATCTTTTATGAAAACTATAAATTTAGTACTATCTAAGAATATTGCATACCTGAACCATAATAATTAAATACTTTAGAATAGGCTATAGAATTTATTAATCAATTACCTGAAACTTCATCCCCAGAATTGTTTGGTTTACATTCTAATGCTTCTATTACTTAAGCTTAATTAGAAACTAAACATATTTTAAATTGTCTCTTAGATGTAGGATTGGTTGAATAAGGAACATAAGAAAATACTGATAAAAATAAATTATTACTCGAAAAAGCTTAAAGTTTGCTATCTCTCATTCCTAAGCAATTTGACATTAATATTGTTTAGGAAAAATTTAAAATTGATTATTATGAAAGCATGAATACTGTCTTATTGTAAGAAGTATTAAGATACAATAATTTGTTAAGCATTTTGTAGAAATCTTTATAAGATTTGATTAAGGCAGCCTAAGGTTTAATTGTAATGAGTTAATAGTTAGAAAAAATGGGAGAATGTTTACTTAACAATATTCTACCTGAATTATGGAAATAAAAATCATATCCATCTTTAAAAAGTTTAAATAATTACTTATAAGATTTATAATTAAGAATAGATATGTTTAATAAATGGATATAATTTGGAACACCAACAATATTTTGGTTACCTGGCTTTTATTTCACATAATCCTTTTTCACAGGTGTTTTGTAAAATCATGCCCGAAAACATAGAATACCTATAGATTAATTAAAATTTGATTTTTTAATTGATGTTAAAGAAGTAGATGGAATCATAATTGATGGATTGTATTTAGAAAGTGGCAAATGGAATTCAGAGGAATAAGTGATAGATGAACCAGTTAATGGAATCATTTATTAGAATTTCCCTAAAGTATATTTTTTTATCATTATAGATATAACTCTTACCAAAATAGAATTTTATTGAAAATCAAGAAGATTACATCTGTCCTGTTTATAAAACTCTTGACAGAAGAGGTACTTTGTCAACTACAGGACATTCTACTAATTTTGTATTTTTATTGTTTATTTTAAGATTATTTCCATACCTATAAAGACTTAGTTAAGTGTTAGTCATTGGGTTAAAAGAGGAACTGCTCTGGTAACATAATTAAATGAATGAAAATTATAATATATTTAAATGTATAAATTCTTAAAACTATTTGGTAAAGACAAAGAAAAATCAAAAAGGTCTCTTACTTTATGCTTTAAGGAAAAAATTACAAGTGCAAAGAAAGTTTGAAGAAAATTTGATAGGACTTATAAAGTTAATAAATCTTTGTAAAAATTTTAGACAGAAAATTTTGAGGCTATGGATCTTGATAATAAATTCAACAGGGGAGGTTATAATTTTATGTAAAAATTTTGCAAGGATTCTGCTTTATCTGATACATTTTATATGTTTTTTTATTTATAGGGATTTATGGAACGATTAAAACATAATATATTTAAAAATTATTAGAGCATTATAGATTGAAAAGTAGAACTTTTAATTCATATTCTAATGAAATATTTTTAATCCATTAGGAAATAATACCTCGATCAATAAATTATTAAATTTTAGTACATAACAAAATTACTAATTATAATTGTATATATATAATACAAGAAGATAATTGATTGGAGATAGGTAAAATTAATTGGAAGAATGGAAAATAATTATTAAGGATTATAGGTATAGATTAGGATGAAAATGTATATTTAGTATTTGAATGTGGATTCTTTCAAGTGAACTTCAATAAAAATAAACTAGAAAATACAACTTAAAAAACCTAGTAAGAGAAAATGATTGATTTCCATATAAAGATGTTGAATTGAGTGATTTTAATATAAAGACTAATATTATATCTTGTCTTATAATATACTTATTCATTTATTATATAATGTAATATCAATTTTCGGTAGAGTTAGCAGTTAATAAAGATTGTAGAAAAACATAAAGTGCAAATAAATGCACAGGTAGAGAATCACAGAACAATTTATACTAAAACTTTACTCATAAAAATTCAAGTTAACCTAAAGTGGTGAATATCTTTAGAAGTTTTTGCTTGATAATATATCATAGATCATCCAACTAAATCTAATCATTATTTGTAAACTTCAATAGATGTTCATGAAATAAATAAATCCAAAAAACATATCACTTTTCATTAAAGAATTAAAACAGAAATTGATAAACCAAGTGACTTTAATAAACGATTTAATCCTAATGAGATTCAAGTTTTTTTAAGTATAATTTGAGTTTTATAGGACAGATAAGGTTGAGATCGAGAAGAACAAATTAAATGTGTTAAATAAGATTGCAACTAATTAAGGCAATTAATTGAAAGCAGTTAAAGTAAATTAAGGAAGGTTTCTTCTCTATAATATATATAGTTTATAGAGAAATCTATAATTTCAATCATTCCAAATAATCTAGTTAGCCAGAACTTTAAGATTAAATTCTGAGAAAGACTAACAATTATTTAAGTAAAAAATATTTTTAGTTTGAGGAAACAATAAAAATGGATAATCAACTCCAAATAATTTTGATGAGAACCCTTAATTTAACTACTTTAAACATAAAATTGAGTTTCGAAATAGAAGAAATAATTATACAAGATCAGATGATGTAACCCCATTAAGAAGATCTGTATTCTAATAAATTTAAGAATATAGTGATACTAAATTGGAGTATATTATAATAGATTTATTGTAGTTAAATAAACTTAACAAAAGAAGAAGACATAATGTAATTTTCATTTGGATTACAATATAATAAATTGAGAGTATTAAGAAGATTCCCTAAGGATATATTTTATGGGGATGTTCGTAAAGCTAAAAAAAATCTATAAATGCAATGAAAATTTATTGATTTATATATATATGATTAGAATTATTAAATAAAACTTAGGTGAATATTTTTTAGTTCAAATTTTGCTTAATTTTAATGTAATAACCATAAATAGAGCTTATGAATCTAGATAAACCTAAGTAATCAATAGCTTCGGCATTGCTATCTAAGAAATCTGTGAAGAAGAATTAACGTAAATCTAGATTTTCAAGATTCTCTAGAATTAGTAAATTATCAGTACATGACTTGAAGACTGGTTTATTTTATATTCGAGAGAGTTGGAGAAGTGGAATGGCAACAACATTTTTAACAATGCCATTTGCAATGAATGCAGGTAACAATTCAGGATTGAATGCAAGCGTTGGGCTAACTTCAGCATTTATTGGAAGTTTTGTAAATGGATTGTTTAGTGGAAGTAACCACTCAATATATGTACCGAATTAGATGGCAGCTCTTTTCAATTATAACATAACTTAGTAATATGGAGATGAGGCAGTGCCTTGGGTTACTCTAATGATTGGAATAATAATATACGTATGTGGTTTATTTAAATGGCATCATTTAATCGAATTTATGCCTAGCTATGTAATAGAGGGCTATTTTTGGGGTTTGGGATTTTTAATCATTAATAATTACATAGGTTATGGGTTTGGTTTAAGTGATTTATAATCAAATAGAGGAGTTTAAGTATATGAAGATCGTTTTGAGATGTATAAAAGTTATTTTTAGAGAGGAGATGTATATCATTTATACGCAGCTATAGGGGTTTTCTTATTTTTATATATTGGAAATAAGGTGCATAAACCATTTCCATGGGTATTGGTAAGTACTTTTGTAGGTATTTTTATTGGATAATTATTTCCAAATGAGAGATGCTTAAGAAGTGTTTATGGAGATGTTTCTTTAAGTTTTAATTGGATTGAAACATATGGTGAAATATTTTAGGTGGATTTTAAGATACTTTATAAATTATTTTAAGAGGCTATACCAATGGCATTGTATATAATGACATAGAATTTGATTTGTGCAAAGGGAGCTGAAATAATGATAAATGTTAAATGTGATTATGATTAAGAAATTGAATGTGTATCAGTTTGTAACATTTTATCAGGATTACTTGGAGGAATTCCATGTAATGCCCAATAAAGATTATATGTTTTAAATATTAAAGTAAAGGAAGTGAATAGATGGTCATCAATTTTGAATGCATTTTCAATTCTAATATTTTATGGAGTACTAGGTAAATACTTTATGGAAATTCCACTATTTATAATTGGAGGATAAGTGTTATATTCAGGATATTAATGTCCAACTTGGAGTTTTTATGATAGAGTTATTGCTACAAGAAGATATTTAACAATATTTAAGGTTATAGCTTTAGCAACATTGTCTGTATATTATGGTCCAATACCAGCTTCATTAATTGGTAGTCTCTATGCATTATTGAAATTTGCAGAAACAATGAGTGCAGCAGCAAGTGAAATAGTATTAAAGCAAGGACCTCAGAGTGTTAAGTTAAGACAATCAATGACTAGATAATAGGATGGGGAAGATGAATAAAGAGTCTAAGTAGATGTAGAGGATGATCTATTAGATGATATTAATGTCGAATATATCATCTATAGATTCAATGGGTCTTTGAATTACATTAATGCAAAGGTATAGTGATTAAATCATTAAAAGAATCATGTGGAGTAGATCAAACGATTGCCTGAAATTGATACTATCGTTTTTAGTTTTCGATATGTAAGCGTTTTTGATGAGCAGGCTTTGGATAGGTTAGGAGTCATAATGGATAATTTATTAAGTAATTGATTGGTTGAATTTAGAAAGCGGAAGAGAATTGTATTTTACTGGGTTACACGAATAAATGATAGAGCAAATGAAATTTAATTAATTTTTTAAAGACTTTATCGAAATTAAGTCTCAAAATCTAAAATTCTTAGGAAAATGATGTATTTTTTAATAAATTAAAATATTAAGTAATGTTGATTTATAATATGCATTATACTATTATGGCAACAAAAATATTAAATAGATGAGATTGTTATTATTTTTGATACTTTTAATTGTAGTAATCAATTGAAAAACCAAAGATGAATGAAAGAGTAGATCAGTTTATTAATTGCTCACAGATAGATTTGCCACAAGTTAGGACAAATCAACTTCATGTAATTTAGGGAATTATTGTGGTGGTGATTAAAAAGGGGATGATCTGAAGTTTTATGGGGTAACTTAGATTAGTAATAATTCAAGTTCTATTATTAGATAATCAGAAATGTATAAATTCTTTCAAGCCATTAATAATGCTCGTAAAACAACTAATGCAGGAAATTAAGAATAAATTTAAAGATATTCTGATTCTGAAATTTATGCTTTCACAAGAGGTACTTTATTTTCTGCATTCTCAAGTAAATATGATAGATAGGTTGTTAAAACTATTACATATCATCCATATTCTGAAGGTAATATGAAATTAATTTATTTAAGGAACCACTATTTGTAACATCTTCTATCCAACAACAGATTGTATTAAAATAATAAATGGTAAGTTTACCTTATATCTAAATTATGGAGAGAGGTTAAGATTTTTATTCCAAAATGAATTTTGTTTATTTAAAAAATTTATAAATATAGACACTCTTTTTTAATGAAATAATTTATTAATAAATTTATTGTTAAAAATTAGATGGACAATCCAATTAAAGTAAGTCAACTTAAGTCTTCTTCTGAATAAAAAGAAATGGTTGATAAACTCTTCAAGATTCCAATTCAATAAATATAAAAAGTTCATTAGAAGTCATAATCTAAATCTGATGTGATTAATGAATTGCGCCAAGAAAATTATGATTTAAAAAATACAGTCAACGAATTAAAATAGAGAATTCAGGAATTAGAATAACAATTACAAAATTAATAAAATAATTAAATTGAAGAAGAGATTCAAGAAAAAGTTTCAGTTGAGAAATCATAAAATGAATTGTAAGAAGAAATGACAGAAGAAGAGAAATCAATTCATTTAGCTTTTATGTTATAATAATAAGAAGAGATGGAATTTCAAAATCGTTTAGCTTAGTATTTATTTATGTTTAATCTATTCTAGAATGCAAAATAATGTAGACCTTGATGAAATGAGTTATGAACAATTATAAGATTTACAAGAAAAGATGGGATTTGTTAGTAGAGGATTACTTGTAAACTAAATTAAAGCACTTTTAGCTTAATGCAAAATATAGAAACAAATCAATGATTGGTAAATTAATTGATTAAATTTATTTTTAGTTGTACAATCTGTTTAGAAGATAGTGGAAATCCTGTAGAAATTGAATTAGAATGTAGTCATGTTTTCCATTAAGAATGCATTTCAGAATGGCTCTCAAGAGAAAAACATTGCCCAGTATGTAAAAGAGACATAAATCTTAATAAATTCAAATGATGTGTAATTTATTTATTTACTGTGAAATAATTATAATTTTGAATATAATTCACTTTTAAACTTTCAAATAGAATTTTAAATTTCATATAAAAAAAAATAAAAAGGAATTCTAAAAATTGTTGCAAGAATTTTCATTTTATTAAGTTAAAGTAATTAATTAATTTTTTAAGATTAGTTATTGCGAAGTTTAGATAAGATCTTTTCTTTTTAATTTATTTGATACAAATCAGAAGATGATGGAAAGTGAAAGGAAAGAATGTTTAGAATATGAATAAATAATATATAATAATATATTATTCATAAAAACGAATAATGTTAGATCGAGATGAATTGTAAGGATCAGAATCAGAAATTGGAAAAGGTTAGGAAGAGATGTTGTTTAAATGTATACGCATATTTATAGCATTGTCATTTTATATAATTTTGTAATTAATAGCATTTCGAATTGAATATTAGATCAAATGGATAATTATTGGAGTTATATTTTTCCTCTGCAATTCTATCGTCTGGATCTTAAGTAGTAAATGGCTATGTATTTAATAATTATTTTACTAGATTAATAGCAATATCCAAGAATTGCCAAAGTATTTTTAGCAATAGCCTAAAATTCTACATTGGGATTATTGCCGATTTTTATAATCCTCCTTTGTTTATAACTTGATGGAATCATAAACTAGAATCCTATTTTAATTGTTTTACCTTTGTTTGTTTGGAAAATATTTTTATTGTCGTTCTTAGTTTTTATCATACCTGGATTATGTGATGATAATTATGGATCCAAAAAATGGGTAGTAGTCATAATAATCTATTATGTTACAATCATTTACACTGAAATTACAGCATTAATATAATTACAGTAGCATTTTAATTGGTTTTGGGTCACTTCATTATTGTTGTTTGCCATATCCTACAACATTATCACACTTATTACAGATTGTACATCTACTGTAATATGGCCATGCATTATTTTAGTATGTTTCATTTATTGTTTAACACAATTAACAATTATTTTAAATGATATAAACAGCGACTAATAACCATCAAAATCTATTTAATATTAAGCAGTTATACCAATTCTAATAATTAGCCTAACTAATTTAATCAAATAAATAATTGTGTGAATTAATTACATTATTATATATTATATATAAAATATTATATCTTATTAAAATTTTTAATAGTTTTATTATTGATTTGATTATTTTCCATCTTCTTAATATTTTCAATCATTTTAAAATATTCATTGTAACAATAATATTTAACATAAACTTTTTAAAACTATATATCAAATAAAATGAGCCAATAGCACTAAGGTATTTAGAAATATCTTTTAAAGTCTCTTTTTTAGCATTATTTATGAAGTCAATCCATAATTTATAAAGAAGTTGCCTTCTAAATTTGTTTTCTATTCATACGCAATATCATTAATTATCCTAATTTTTCTTTATAAGCTATATCTATAATGAAAATAATGATTTCAAATTTCCTTGTTCTCTTATTTGAAATTTAGCAAATCATTTAAATAATCATTAGCATCTTTTTAGTTTGAATTTAATAATAATAGTTCTTATCAATATAATCTTTTTTTACTATTTTAAATACATTCATAATATTTAAATTTTTTTCTTAATTTAAAGTTTTGTCTTTTACATAAAAAAATCTATTTGCATTTTAAATGATTAACTAAGGGAATATTTAAATGAACTTAAGATCCTATATATTTTAAAGCTATTTGCATTTGCTCGTGAAATTAAAGCAATTACAGTATTCTAATAAATTTAGGTTGATTAAAATTTATAGATAGAAAAAGTTGAAGAATTATTTTGAAGTTTAAATCTCGCCTTTGACTTAGTAACTGATTTATTTACAATAAAAATGCCTTCCAAAACAAAAAAAAAGAAATTCTTATAGTTACGTTAAATTATAAAATAGTAGTGATTAAATCAATATGTGAAACAGAAATTTTGTTTTAAAATACAAAAAAATTCAAACTTAAAATTTAGGTTTACAATTTAAGTATTTTGGTACATCTGCAAATTTAGATGGTACATCATATGTACCTGGTCCTGGACTATTATTTATATTATAAATGGGCTTTCTTTTATATGGTTTACCAAATCCCCAACTGGGTCCCATTAAAATTTTTTTAAATTCGTATGTACCGGGTCCTGGTATTTTATCAGAAGATTAAGCTTTAGTTTATTTAATATCTTAAACAATTTTGACAGAGCCATCATAATAATAACATAACTTATCTTATGGATTATAAGTTCCTAGTATAAATAGATAATGAAACCTGGTCCTGGTATAGTTTAAGGTCTCATTTAAGCCTTTGCTCCTTTGAGTGTAATATTACCTAATTTTTAAGGAGGAATATTATAAGTTCCTGGACCAGGTATAAACTATGTTTCACTTTCAACCATAGATGTCCTATTTGCTTTACTTAAACTGTAACAAATTTATGTTTTTTTACTTTTGACATCATAATTTCTAAGATAAGGATAATAATTAGATTTACTCTGAATAATATCTTCCAGGTCCAGGATCCTAAGTTTATTTTTATTATGTAACTCTAGCTTCTTTTCCCATTTTGAAAACAGGTTATGCAGATTTAATAAATGATACATCAGGTGAATATTAACCTGGTCCTGGTATTGATTTATCACATTCTTAAGTTTTAAGTTTTGGTTTAAGTGTAAAACTTTATTGTGTCAATGTACTTTTTAATTCATACATTCCTGGACCAGGGGAACCCATATCTAATGATTAATGAGTTTTAAAATTATTCTTTGATCCAAATCCCCATGAAGGTTATGATTTATGTGGAGAAAATTTATTATGATTAGTAAGATTGTATTCTAAAATAATAATTATTTAAGATTTACATCCTGGTCCAGGTGAACAAGTTCCATCATCCATAGTTTTTAATCTTTTTTCAATAGGAAATTTACTTGAATTAGTAGTTAGATAAGTCTAATTCAAATCATAAGTTCCAGGACCTGGAACAAAATTTTTAATTTATTTATCAATCTTTACACCCATACTATAAGATGGAATTCGTTTTTATACTGTTAAAAAGGAATCTTCTTTGTAATTACCTGGTCCTGGAGATTATGAAATAACTTTTTCTTTTAATCTTCCTTTAATTGTACAACATGGTACACCGTAAAGTAATGATTTTTAAGGATATTATCCTGGTCCTGGAGTACATGATTTTATTCTTACTTCTCTTTTTACTTTTCCTCCTATTCTAAAAAATAAAAAAACTTATACGTCCACTAAGGTGAAGTTGGTTAATTATTGATAGAATAAGTATTTGGAGCAGGAACAAAATTCTTTTTTGGACTATCTCTTTTAGCAGTTCCTATAGAAAAAGCAGAAACCATAAGAAACAAATTATTAAATTTTATTATAATCTTATTGAATGACTTAATAAGTTTATTTTTATAATTATTTTGAATGTCTTTAACTAAGAGAGAAACTTCAAAAAATCATATGCATTCAGAAATTAACATATTTAAATAAGTTGAATAAGAAGGATTAAGAAGAAGACCTGGATCTGGATAACCAATTTCTTAAAAGAAATCACCTTTGCCAACCAGAAAACCTGGATTATCTGGAAATTAAAGAGTTTTAATTAAAGAACCTGAGTAACATTTAAAACCAAGACAATTAAGTAACAATTCATCAAAAACAACATAATAGTTACCAATAATTGTAAAGCAATTTAGTATATTATTTTAGAAAAGTCCATCCCAATAATAGAAACCTCCAATTTAAATTGATAAAAAACTTATTATAATGAAATAAGAGCATGCAATAGTATCAGCAAGAGGTACTTTAACAGGAGAACGCTCATAAAAAAATAGTAGCAATTAAAATTTATCGACGGCAGATACAAATATTAAATAATTCAATTGGGTTGATGAATAAGTAAATTCACATAGGAATTCTTCATAAAATGTATATATCTCAATATAGCAAGAAAAGAGGATAAGGATCAAAAGAGAAATAGAACATTACTTAAAGTTAAAAAAGTAGTAAATTATAAGATAATTTTAATAATGATCATCCTCCACATAATTAACCAAAATGTTGTACAGATTTTACAATGACATCTGGAAAAAATGATTTATCTACAGCTTTGGCTTCAATTAAAATGGAAATAAAGCAAACTGCTGAGTAAGCTCATTAAAATGGAATTATATTAAACATGAGTGGTAATTGAATTAAATTATAATAAGAAATTAAAGAGATGGCTGATGATGGATATTCTTCATTAGGATAGAGTACGGTGTATCAATTTAAAAAATGAGAATAATTTACTCAATTACTAAATTGATTAAGATTAAATAGTAAATAAATATTATATATATAAAAAATTGTAATGGGTGGTTGTGGATCACGAGAAAAAGAGTTAAGAGAGAAGGTAGGATTCTCTTAAAGCGATTATGATTTTGCACTAAAAAAATTTAATAAGATGACAAAACAAAAACCAGGGTATTTATAATTTTTATAATAGGAAAACAGACGAATATTTTAGTTTTGAAGGGTTTAAATAATATTTTACAGAGAATCCAGTATTAGCTTAAAAGCTTTACATATTTATGAGAAATTATGGAGGTTAAAATTATGTAGATTGTCATACATTTCTAACAGTTGGTATTCTGAAAAATAAATATATTTAGTTGACTTATTTAGTAGAGTTTCTATGAAATTACAAAATTAACTAAAGAATTTAGATATATATACATTATTCACTTTAATATCTTTATCGAGTCCAGAGATAATGTAAAGAGATTCATTTAATTTAAATAATGTTTACAAGATAAGTGTTAGTTATTCAAATGCTGTAAAATTATTTAAAGTAAATAAAGTTATGAATTTTAGGAACTTATTAACATGTAGAGTGATAAAGGAGATATTTTATGTCATGATGATGATCAAGCACCAATTTTAATTATAAACAACATTTTTGAAAGTATAATTAATTTAATAGTAATTTTAATTAGATCATTCATTGTTAAATTATAAAGCATTTAATGATAAAATTAAATCAGAAACTCCTTTTATTTCTAAAATAGTTAAAAATTATATTGCAGGTAAATTTGTTAATAAGACTTTGAGAAATTAATTACCTATTTTAAAACCAAGTGAAATTATGAATAAATAAATAATAGGTATCGTATATAAAATAGATTAAGCATTACTTAATTTAAGCGTACCATGGTTTTCTAAATCTATAGCTATTAATAGAGTTTACAATTATGATGTAGACTCTGGATAATAATACAATTTTAATATCATAGGGAATTATTTACTTTAAACAAAAGGACCAAATATGATTTTATTTAGACATTCTTAAAAAGATAGAGATGGAGAAAAATAAGATAAGTATGTATTTGGATATTTTTCACCGTCTTAATGGAGAGTTTCACCAGATATATCAGGAAACAAAGGATCTTTTATATTTTCAATCCATCCAAAATTCAAGATATTTTCAACTGTTGGTTAATAATAAAGTAAATTTGCTTTGTTAGTACCTATAATTACAAAAAAATAAAGTTAAACACTAAATTCAACTCTAAAACAAGGTCCAAAATAACCTGGTTTAGGAATTGGAGGCAGTGGTTATGATCATCATAGAATTTGGATAGATGGAAAATAATTATAAGCAAGTAGACTCGTAGATGAGGATAAAACATATTAAAGTGGTTCTATACTACCTGATGATATTCATTTACTAAATGTAAGTATATAAAACACATATTAATACTATTTTAGATTGACTTAATTGAAATATGGGATCTTTAATTAAGTACTGTAGCTTAAGGTACTTCTTATTTTAAATCTACATCTCATTAATAAAATTTTGGTGAAGATGAAAAAAGAATTAACTAAAATCAATTAAGAGATCTGATAATTACTTTAAATTAATAACAAGGAAGAAATAATTATGTATCATTTAAATTTATCGCTTTTAGAGAAGAGATACAACAGAATTTTAAATTAGTAATCCCTTACTCCCAATTAATGAAGAGGAGGAGGAAAAATTATAAGCAAAATGACATTTTATATATTATATAATTAAATTATAATTTATGGAATCCCCAGTTTTATCAAAACAATTAGAATTATCAGAATTGAAATAGATCATCAAAAATAGATTTTCTTTTGATAGAAGAAAAGTAATATTCTTTACTTTAAATTCTTGTCTATTGGGATTGGCAGTATTTAGTTTATTTTCGGCTATCACTCTTGAAAGCAATTCGTAAATCTTTAGAATAAGAACTTATTTGACAGATTAAAATTTATCTAACAGAGAATAAGCTAGAAAATTAGAAACAATATTAATTCCTTAAAATATTGCTTAATTATGTACTATTGTTGCATCAATTATTGGTTATTATGGAATATATTAAAAATCATAAAAAGTATTATCTATTTGTATAGCTTTAGATCTTACATTTATTTCCTATCAGTTTAGGTGTTAGTTTGGCTTTCAGAACCATTGCTACTATAGTAATAATCTCATATTTCAACACAATTTAATCTGTATGAAATTAACAAAATTATAGGTTTTTGAAGAAGAGGTAGGAACTTTTATAACTTTATAAATTTTATTTTTGGCATTCAATTGGTTGTTTTGCGTATTTGCATATCAGTAGTTCAAGAAAGCCTAAGTAGAATATCATATTGTTACTAAAGATAGAGAGAGATTGATTATGGATAATAATATGGCATATGAATTAATAAAGAAGATTATAAAAAATTGATGATTGTATTATAATACATATACGGATTAATATTTTACATAAATTCACGACTTATTAAAATAGAAATAATCTTAAGGCTTAACTATTTTACTTAGAATATCGCCTATTACAGATAGATATTTAATTTTTTCTTGTAAATTTGATCTCAAAATTAATGCATATGCATGTTTCTAATAAAATTCAATTGATAAAATTTTAAATAGAGATTTAAAAATATCTTATATTTTTTAAGCACTAGATGAATTAGTATAACATAATATAAGCATTTCTTCTAATGCTTTAACTTCAATTGAATTAATCCAAGCCCAAAAATGAGGCAATAAATTTTAATTGTCAGCAAAATAAAGTCTTACTGTTTCAATTGAAGTTGAATCTTCAATAATAAATTTCATTTGACTCTTAATTAAATATAATTTTATTTAAAAATCTTCATTATTTTCTTATGATTTTTAAGTTCCTTATTTTTAATATTAAATTTATGTTATGAGATTATTTACACCTTCTGACTGTCCTTACTTAGTTATTTTAGTTTATCCTATTTAATTTAAAATTTTGTTTAATTAGGCTTATTAAATAAGCTATTATAAAAAACTTAAAGGTATTGTAACAGCTGGAGTGAAACTTTTTTAAAATTAGAATTATAAATTAAGTTATGGATATTTAGTTGTTTAATTCTAAGATCCACTCTATTCATGCTAATTTTAAACAATTTTAATTGGAGCCACTTTAACAGTCTTTTTATTTTCTTAATAAGGTTCAAAACTCATAAAACTAGATTTTATAATTTGTATATTTTACTTTTTTTAAAAAATATTTTATATATAAAAATATTTATATAATTAAATGTATAGAGAGATTCAAATGTAGAAAATATTAAACAACAACTATTTACTTGGAGTATTCTTTTTTATAATCTGTATCTACATTTGGTTAGTTTGCTTAACATTAATATACCCATACTCAAATACAAATACATTAATCATACAAATACTTTGGGTTCCATTACAAATATTTTATATTATGGTTATATGGTCAATGATTAGATGTATTATTAGTGATCCTGGCAAAGTATTTGATAAATTAATTTCAGGTTCCCATTTATTGGGGAGTTTTGTTAGATGATTAAGAATAAAAGAAAAGACGATATTGTTTAATTTGTCATATTTTTAAACCAGAACGTTGTCATCACTGTTCAACGTATATAATATATTGCTATTTAAAAAGTTGTTAGAGATGTGTATTAAATATGGATCATCATTGTCCATGGATAGGAAATTGCGTTGGATATCAAAACCGAAAGTTTTTTATTTTATTTCTTCTATATATAAATTTATCAGTGTTGTTTGGCATTGCTATTACAAGTTTAAGAGTTTATCCAATAATAATGGATCTTATATATATAAATTGGAAGTTATTAATTGAAAATTATCTAGTTATCCCTACTCTTTTATTGTAAACAAATTAAACATAATAGAGAAATAATAATTATTACATTCGGAGGAGTTATATCCAATTTCTTTGTATTTCATTTAGATTTAGTTTCAACCAATAAAACAACTATAGACACTTTAGAAGTAAGAAGAAATGGAAATCCTACTTAAACTCCTTTGAATGTATATGATATAGGGTAATCAAAATTATCTAAATAATGTAGGATTAAAGAAAATTGGTTATAAGTAATGGGAAATAACCCATGGCTATGGATTTTCCCTATGTTTGGAGAAAGTGGTAGACCAAAAGGTGATGGTGTTAGATGGGAGCGTAATTAAAATTAATTAACAATGACTGAACAAAATGTTACACATAGAACTTAAACTAACTAAAATTAAAGAAGCGAAATGACTTAACCTTAATAAAGAGTGTGAAAAACAATAATTAATATAAAATATTTATATTTCCTACATTTTTATTTTCATATGTATATAGTAATTCCAAAATCCAGTAGAATTATTAAAATTGAAATCTATCAATACAATTTAAATTAGTTTTTATTGAATTGAAGATATAACAAGTTTGTATATATCGATATAATACATTATATTTTTAAATAATATAAAAATCAAATATATTAAAGGAATTAAGAATTAATTAAAAAATGAATGTTTATTCTCCAAAAGTTATTTACCTTTCAATTTAAATAAGATTATTCTTCAAAATCTGCTTAAATTTAAAACTATAAAAATGTATTATTATTCATTAGTTTTCTTTAAAAAATATGTTGTTAAAAAGAAAAAAATTACATAATTAAAAACTTGGATTTGAAAAAATAGTATTATTATAAAAAATAAGTAATTAAGGAATCCTAACTGATCCAAACTTATTTCAATTAAAAAAGAAACTCGCAAATTATTGAAATAGTTAGAAACATCCTTGAAAATGATTATGATATTTTGAATTCAAATAAATGAAGATTAATATTTATTATAAAATAAAAATAGAATTTAATGCTTGCAGAAACTCCATTGAGAAAATGTTTAAATTAATTTTCTTAGGCTATTGTATTTTACATAATCTTTTTTGTGTATATTATGACAGATTACCTAACTTTAAAAAATCCTTATTCTTCTGCGTATCTCTAAATCATATAGATTTTTTGGGTTCCTTTAAAAATAACATATATAATGGTTATATGGTCTTTTATTAGATGCATATTTAGTGATCCTGGCAAAGTTATTTTTTAGATAAATTCAGGTTCCATATAATTGGCAATTTCAATTGGGTTAATAGTTTGATTATGAAACAGCTAGATATTGCTTATTTTGCCATAGATTTAAGCCTGATCGTTGTATTCATTGTCCATGGTAAAATAACTATCATTTTAAAAAAGGTGTAATAGATGTGTATTAAATATGCATTTTCATTTTCATATGATAGGAAATTGTGTAGGATATTTTAATCGCAAGTTTTTTTTATTGTTATTATTCTACATAAATTTGACTACATTATTTAGTGTAATATTGTTAAATTTAAAAGTATATTCAATATTGAAGGATATAATTGAAATTGATTGGAAATTGATATTTGAGTACTATATAATAATACCTACTTTTTGTTTGTAAGAAATAAAAGAATAATAGATATATATGTTTAATTGTATTTGGTGTAATAGTATTTCGTTGTTTAATTNTATTAAAATTGAAATCTATCAATACAATTTAAATTAGTTTTTATTGAATTGAAGATATAACAAGTTTGTATATATCGATATAATACATTATATTTTTAAATAATATAAAAATCAAATATATTAAAGGAATTAAGAATTAATTAAAAAATGAATGTTTATTCTCCAAAAGTTATTTACCTTTCAATTTAAATAAGATTATTCTTCAAAATCTGCTTAAATTTAAAACTATAAAAATGTATTATTATTCATTAGTTTTCTTTAAAAAATATGTTGTTAAAAAGAAAAAAATTACATAATTAAAAACTTGGATTTGAAAAAATAGTATTATTATAAAAAATAAGTAATTAAGGAATCCTAACTGATCCAAACTTATTTCAATTAAAAAAGAAACTCGCAAATTATTGAAATAGTTAGAAACATCCTTGAAAATGATTATGATATTTTGAATTCAAATAAATGAAGATTAATATTTATTATAAAATAAAAATAGAATTTAATGCTTGCAGAAACTCCATTGAGAAAATGTTTAAATTAATTTTCTTAGGCTATTGTATTTTACATAATCTTTTTTGTGTATATTATGACAGATTACCTAACTTTAAAAAATCCTTATTCTTCTGCGTATCTCTAAATCATATAGATTTTTTGGGTTCCTTTAAAAATAACATATATAATGGTTATATGGTCTTTTATTAGATGCATATTTAGTGATCCTGGCAAAGTTATTTTTTAGATAAATTCAGGTTCCATATAATTGGCAATTTCAATTGGGTTAATAGTTTGATTATGAAACAGCTAGATATTGCTTATTTTGCCATAGATTTAAGCCTGATCGTTGTATTCATTGTCCATGGTAAAATAACTATCATTTTAAAAAAGGTGTAATAGATGTGTATTAAATATGCATTTTCATTTTCATATGATAGGAAATTGTGTAGGATATTTTAATCGCAAGTTTTTTTTATTGTTATTATTCTACATAAATTTGACTACATTATTTAGTGTAATATTGTTAAATTTAAAAGTATATTCAATATTGAAGGATATAATTGAAATTGATTGGAAATTGATATTTGAGTACTATATAATAATACCTACTTTTTGTTTGTAAGAAATAAAAGAATAATAGATATATATGTTTAATTGTATTTGGTGTAATAGTATTTCGTTGTTTAATTTTTCATTTAAGTTTAGTGTTGACTAATGAGACATTAATAAGTTTATTGTAAATATCAAATCGTGGAAATGTATATGATTTAGGGTAGATGAATAATTAAATAAAAAGTTTGAAACGGAATTGGTTTTAAGTAATGGGGAATAATCCTTGGTTATGGGCATTTCCTATATTTGGAGTGAATGGAAAACCATTAGGAGATGGTATAAGATGGGAGAGAAATGAAAATTGAGAATAGATAAAAGAAATAATGAATGAGTGTGAAAATAATAATATTGAATATTAATAAAAATAAAGATTAATATTTCCCACGCTTAATTTAATATTTAATAAATAAAAATGGAGGCTAATTAAGTAAACGACTAAGTGATAAAATAGTTATTATATTAAAAAAAGGTATATATTTGGAAGGATTAATAGTATAAAGAATTAGTAGAAAGAGCAAGAGAAGTAGGTTTAGTGAAATAGTATTCTAAAATGAAATATGATGGAATAATATATTCAATTGGTTAGATAGTTTAATTGTCAGTGGATGGTAATAGAGACAAGAAAACATATGGAAAATTAATAGGATTTTGTAATTTAGAAGTGGATGAATATTTGATTCCTATGATAAAGGTGTAAAAGTATATAAATAAATTGGAATTGCCTTAAAAGTTAAAAGAATTATAAGATGGGATAAGTGAATTTGAATTGTTTTAATCAGAGATAGAGGAATGGTTATTTTGCACATAAATAGATCATGAAATTAAATTAATATCAATAAAGGAATATGAAGAAATGATGATTTAAAATGAGAGAACATATTTTACTAGAGCTGATTATAATATGGAGAAGGATAAGTTTAACCCTCCTATTTCGAAATGGGGTAGAATTTGTATATGTAATTAAATATCAAATCCTGATAAATCATATATATAATGTGATAAATGTTAAAAATGGTTACATTATGAATGTGCAGGTGTATAAGCATAATTAGCTTAAGATATAAGTTTTTATTGTGCAATGTGTAGAAAGAAATGAATCCAAAATTAAATGACAAAATCTATATTTTTATAATTAATTTTATTAATTATCAATAAATAAGTATCATTCTCAATATAAACCTATAATTTTCATACATCCAAACTTATAATTATTTTATTTATTATTAAGATTAATAGAAATCTTATTAATAATTTTATTATTCATTTTAGAATTAATTATTTCTCATAGGCATATTTTGAGTTTTATTTAATATAATTTATTAATATTACTATATTTTATTAAATTACAGATTTATATAGTATTAGATGATTATATAAATTAATTTATAATAGGAGTTTATTATATATATTCTACGAAATCTTTTATATGTGATAAAGAATGAGTATTACCTTATTGAGTATTTTATTCTTAGATTTCTTAATAATCTATTTATTACTTATGTTTTTTTTTAAGTTAAAGAAATTCTTATAAAAATCAATTAAATTAACTAATTTAATTTTAGTTTCATTATTTTTATTTCTTATTTATTAAAATAGAAAGGTTTTAGACTACTATTTAAGAATAGAGTATATTAATTATGTTTAATAAGAATCAATTATTATTTAGGATCAGCTAAATATATTTATAGTGTAAGTTTCTTACATAAATATAATTTATGAATTCAGATCAGAATAAATAAAATAGGTTTATTAATAATGTGTGGTAATTTGTTTAAATGATATGAATTAGTTGTACGATTACCTATAGATTTCATAATATCAAAATTTTATTTATATTAATATTATATTTTAACATGCATAATCTATTTTCATACTAATAATTGATAATCTATACTAATTTATCTATGTCTTTTTATAATATTTTCAGGTCTTTTTTCTTATATTTTTGCTGGTATGTATTATTTATTCATTATATATGAAATTATTAGTTCTATAAATATTTTAATGATTTTTTGAACTTTTAATCCAGAATATTTACCTTATCTATTCAATGTCAAAATTATAATAATATCTCTCTGATCTTAAAACTCATTAAGAGGAAGAAATAGAAATACAAATCGATTATCCAAATAAAGCAGAAAACTCTGATGATTCTGAAGATGAATAGAATGAAATTCTTAATGAAATACTTAAATGTATGTAAAAAGGATTGTCTGAAAAGGTTTTTGATTTTGATTTAGGTAACTAAATAAAATTAATTGATGTTGATGATATGAATAAAAGTGCCCTATATTTAGATGCTTTAGCTTGGCTTTATTCAAATAGAGTAGATAGAACCTATGTTGAAAGTCTTAAATTAAAAGTTAATCTCTTAAGAGTATATGATACTACTACAACTATACCTAATGCACCACCTTAAAAGAAAAGTAAACAATCATAATAAACCTAATAATTAACTCAAAAAACTATTCATCTTAATAGAAATCTAGAACTTAAAGAAATTACAAAATATGGAGAATCTACTCTTGATTTTAAACCATATACACATTAATATGATACACTTCAAATTAACCCCTTCTTTAATCAAACTAGTAAATCTCTTGATATGCAAGATCTTACTACACTTATTATTTATAATCCTTAATTTGATGAAAATTTAGCTATCATTATTGATCCTGATCAACTCTTAAAAATTAATGAGTAAAATAAATAAATTCTTACAGGATTCATTAAATTAGAAATTGATACTTCTGTACTTGATTACTCTAATTTAGTCTCTAAATAATTTAAAATGAGTTTTAATGAAGTTAATGATTTTAGAGAACGTTACAAATATTTACTTAATAAAAAAGAAACTTAAACTGTTAAAATTGAAAAAAATTAATAAATTGCTATTGACAAATTTATTAATGATTTTAGAGTTTATGATGAAAAATTGAAATAAGCTTAATAAACTATAGATTAATAACAATAATCATTATCTTAATTAAGTGTTGAAGAATAATAAATTTTAAGTTTAAATCAATAATATTAATAATAACTTAAAATTAATCCTACTGAAATAGATCATGATCAATAAGCATTTTTAAGTAAAAAATTAGAATAATTGAATTTTGATTCTTAACCTTAACAATAATTTGAAAATATCAATTAAATTAAAGATTAATAAATCAATATATAAAATTTACAGCAATAGATAAATCAAATGGATATTGAAGAATTTAATAATTAATTACCTGAAGTTATGCCAGATCCTTTAGGTTTTCAAGATGATTAATTAAATGAACTTCAAAATCATTAATAGACTGAAGAATAGAAATAATTGTAATTGGAACAATATAAAATTTATTAAGAAAAGAAAAAGATGTTATAAGAATAATTTTAAAAATAATAAAGAGAGGCAGCAGAAAAATAAAATTAAGTTCAAGAAGAAATTAAATGTTAACTTACTTATTAATAATAATTCCAGGATATATTTAATGATGTGAATGCACCTGTAGATGAATGGGATTTAGAATAAGAAGAAGAATTTGATTAAGATCTAGCACCTTATGAAGAATAACAATAAATGCAAAAAAATAATAATCAATAATAGGCAGTTTAATAGTAATAGTAATAGTAATAATAATAATAATAATAATAATAATAATAAACTAATGTTAAGAAAAAATAAAAGAAAGTGTATCCAGATACATTTACTTTTGATGATGCTGCTGAATTGAATAGATTTTTAATTTTAAATACAGTAGGAAATACATAAAGAGATTTTGGTTAAAGAGAATTAACATTAAAATGTTTAGCTGATAATTGTTAAGATTTTGATTATTATAGATATTTTGAATACTTTACAAGAGAGTATACAGGATTTTTAGAAGAGGAAGAATAATAATAAGCAATTCCTGTACCAGAACCAGAAAGTTTTGGATTAGATGAAATATAAATACAAGTATAAATGGAAACTACAAATTAAATGATTGAAACATATTAGAATGATTTAGACTACTATGTTTTACCTTTTAAAATTTAAGCTAATAATAACAATGAACCTATTACAATTAAGCAATTATAAGTTATTTTAGAAAAAGTTATTGATGAAATTAAAGGATAAGTTGAATTTATCAAAATAGAAAAAACATTGCCAATGATAATGAATGAAAAAATAAGTAAAAGTAAATTATTTGCTGCTCTTCTTTTTGTTGCTAAAAATAGAGGATACAAATTAGAATAAAAAAATAAATAATTTAAAGATATTATTATAAAAAAAGAAGAAATTTAAACTATTGAAATTGATTAAGAAGAAATTAATAGAAACTCATCATAAATTGATATAGCTATGTAAATTGAAAGATGAATATTTATACTAAATTATATAATTAAATTAATTAATTATTCAATCAATAAAAGAATTAAAATTCTTAAATTTTTTATATTCACTTATTTGAGAAATTTGAATTCCAAAATAATTGAATATTTTATTAAGAAGCTTACAGCATTTTTAAGTAACCTTCATTTCTAAAGAATCTTCAATTTATTAAACCATATTGATGATATCATCAACCTATATAAATAATCCCTCTAATAATTTTAAATAGAAATACCTTCTAGAATAAATTATAATTGTTCAATAATATATTAAGTAGTTAGATCACCTAATTTGAATTGATTTACTAAGTCCTGATGCCATATTCTTTATTCCTTATTTCTATAAAAGAAATTCTATCTAGCTTGTTCAGCTACTTTTCTTAATTTTTATATTTTCTCTTGTCTTTAATTTTGATTAATAGTTAAAGATCTTGATCGTAAACTAGAAGTTAAAGGGCGATCTTTTTATAAAGTAGAAACTAATTCAGTGAATTTATCATTAAATTTCATCCTTGTAGTATAGAAATCTTTATTTGTATATAGAATTACCTTAACATTATTTCACTAATTTAACTTCATTATTATTAACTTTTTCTATAAATTTTTAATTATATTATTATTTTACAACTTTTTTATTCTATTTATTCGTATAACCTTATTATCTTGACAATTAAAGTTCAGGAAATTCTAATTTAGTATAAGTATCTTCATCTTCACATATGGTGACATCATTAATCTTTTAAGATATTCTTTCAACAAAAGATTAAGGAGAACCATTTCTAATACTTTATTTTCTGGAATTATTATCATTGATTCTAGAATTCTAGCATGTATCTTTTGAATCTTCTTTTCTTAATCTTGCTAATGGAGTATAAGGTTTTAATAATTATCCATCTATCATTGAAATTATATATTCTCTATGTCCTTTACTTGTATTTATTTTATTTATTTCAAAACTTTAATGCAATTTCTATATAGAACCTTAATTAGTTCTTGCAATAAAAACTTCTCTCTAAGATTCTTTAATATTTTATTTATATTATGCTTTATCTATTCTACTTATTCTTTATTTTTCTCTATTTTCATAATCTTTTAGTATTACTTTTAATATTATTACAAACAAGCATTTACTTCATTTTGTTAAATTTTATTTTCTTCCTTTCTTGGAGATGATTTAGCTGAATTTATTTAGCTAATATTTGATTTAGATTTGTCTTTAAGTTTTCTCTTCATATCTTTCAACTAAGCTAAATTTAATTGATTCATTTCTTATAGTTTTGGTATATGATAATTAAAATTGTCAATTCTAATTATATAAATAATAATTTCATTACATCTATTAAAATTCATCAAATTAATTTCTACTTCTTTTGTATTAATCAAGAATCAATTTTCTTCTCAGATCTTATATTTAATTTTAATATTTCAAAGCTCGTTCAGAATCAAAATTATCTGGTTCTTGAAATAATTTCAATTTTAATTCAAATGATATTGTTAAAGCTTCATCTAAAATTTTTAATGGAATTTGCTTCCATTCTGAGATTGATGGTTATATCTTATCCAAAACAATCTCATTTTTATTTACTTATTTTTTCCATTCGTTAATTGTTTTTTATTTCTCTTCAATTTCAGATGATTTTATACGTTTCTATTTTTCTTTTCTATCATAAGTATTACTATCTATTTAATCCACATAAGTTTCAAAAATATTTAATAGTATTAACAATTAATTTAAATCAAGTTATTACTATCTATTTAAATCATTTCTATTATTCTAAACAAAACTAACTAATTTTTTAAGATATTATAATTCTAATTTTATTTATGCTCTACATTCATCCAATTTTGATAATAAAATCCATTTTGTTGTTGTCTCTTTCTTTATCACTTTATAAACATTTTAGCAATCCTATAAATCTTACAATCTTAAATCTCTTGCATCGTAATGCTCAATTTAAATTTTCATTATTTTATTAGCCTCCTATATATTATTTTCTTATTAATAACCGTTTCTAAGTCTTGAAATGATCTTTAAAGTTTAAGGTTTGATACCACTCATGGTAACTGAAATATTAAAATATTTATTAATTATTGATATTAAATAGATCCATAAAAGAATGTTTTTTTCAATTTGAAAAGTTCTATCATTTAATATCAGAATAAAAAGAATTGGAGAAGTATTTTTTTCAGAAATCAAAACTAATAATCCATATAATAAAATAATAAAGAAAGAAAAGTCAAATAATTTTTTTGGATTATTAACATATCAAAAAGTGTGGTTAAAGAAAATATTGATAAAATTAGATATGTTATTATGAGCAAATATCAATACATGTTAGTTTTTTATCTATAAATGATTATCTAGTAAAAGAATAATTTTATATGATTTATAATGGTTAGGGTAAATTCTCATTTATTAATAACTCATTATTTATATTTGTAAAATTTACAACTTGAAGTGCTGTATTATTCTAAGGTTCTCACATATGTATTATTCAAATAAGGATATTATAAGAATTACTTTTTTGTTATGAATATGAACAAGTATATTTTTGAAGTTGATTTTCAAGCTCTTAAAAATTATATCATTTCCTAAGATAATTCTAATAGTAATAATTAAATACTTTAGAAAATAAATAAATATTATTTTTATATTATTATAAAAGTGTAGATTGGGTTTTCTCCGTTAAGACCTATTGCAGGTTTTTTAGCTGCTAGTTATCATATTGTATTGGTCGTATACTTGCAGGTAGTTTCTATGCAAAATTACAAAATTTTTGTTATTACTATTTCTTCTGAAAGCTTACTTATTTTTCTACCTTCTTTATTAAGCAGTAGAAAATGATCAATTAATATTTTGTTCCTTTATCAAAATATCATATTTAATATACTAAAATACATAATAATATATTTATAATAGATATTAATAAGAATTTATAAATGTATGTTAAATTTATATTTTTAAATATGTTAGATTAGATGTGTAAATTATATGTTCCATTTGTTTGAATATGGTAATAAAAATTTAAAAAGAAATCGAAATTATTTGTAAATAAACAAGAATAGATTAGAATTATTATAAATATTAAGCATAAAGAGATGATTTATTTTATTAATTAGATGATGAGATATTCATAATTGATTNGGTTTGATACCACTCATGGTAACTGAAATATTAAAATATTTATTAATTATTGATATTAAATAGATCCATAAAAGAATGTTTTTTTCAATTTGAAAAGTTCTATCATTTAATATCAGAATAAAAAGAATTGGAGAAGTATTTTTTTCAGAAATCAAAACTAATAATCCATATAATAAAATAATAAAGAAAGAAAAGTCAAATAATTTTTTTGGATTATTAACATATCAAAAAGTGTGGTTAAAGAAAATATTGATAAAATTAGATATGTTATTATGAGCAAATATCAATACATGTTAGTTTTTTATCTATAAATGATTATCTAGTAAAAGAATAATTTTATATGATTTATAATGGTTAGGGTAAATTCTCATTTATTAATAACTCATTATTTATATTTGTAAAATTTACAACTTGAAGTGCTGTATTATTCTAAGGTTCTCACATATGTATTATTCAAATAAGGATATTATAAGAATTACTTTTTTGTTATGAATATGAACAAGTATATTTTTGAAGTTGATTTTCAAGCTCTTAAAAATTATATCATTTCCTAAGATAATTCTAATAGTAATAATTAAATACTTTAGAAAATAAATAAATATTATTTTTATATTATTATAAAAGTGTAGATTGGGTTTTCTCCGTTAAGACCTATTGCAGGTTTTTTAGCTGCTAGTTATCATATTGTATTGGTCGTATACTTGCAGGTAGTTTCTATGCAAAATTACAAAATTTTTGTTATTACTATTTCTTCTGAAAGCTTACTTATTTTTCTACCTTCTTTATTAAGCAGTAGAAAATGATCAATTAATATTTTGTTCCTTTATCAAAATATCATATTTAATATACTAAAATACATAATAATATATTTATAATAGATATTAATAAGAATTTATAAATGTATGTTAAATTTATATTTTTAAATATGTTAGATTAGATGTGTAAATTATATGTTCCATTTGTTTGAATATGGTAATAAAAATTTAAAAAGAAATCGAAATTATTTGTAAATAAACAAGAATAGATTAGAATTATTATAAATATTAAGCATAAAGAGATGATTTATTTTATTAATTAGATGATGAGATATTCATAATTGATTATATTGTAGAGAGAAAAGAGATAATTTTTGAAATGAAATAAAATAAAAAAATAAGTGGAATAAAAATTGTTGTGTATAATTGTAATATAATTATATAATTAATTGAGTTAAGATGGTAAAGTGATAAATTCCACGTATTCTAGGCATCTCTTTTGAATATGGTTTAAGGTTAACCAATAATAGAAGTGACATTAGATGGTATAGAGACTCGTAAACATACAAGATTTGTAGATAAATAATTAGGAGCATTAAGATTACCAGTTTATATAGTAATTAAATAAATGATAAATATAATTATAGGGCGATGATGATATATCAGGTGTTGTAGAAGTGAAGATGAATAAATAAAAGAAAATAGAACATTTAGGTGTACGAATAGAATTGATTGGAAGAATAGGTAATAATAATATTGAATAATTAAGAAATTATTAATGATTAAAAACAAAGTTCAGATTTCATGTCAATGTCAAGAGAATTAGAGCCTTAAGGAATATTATTTGAAGATAAAACATATAAATTTTAATTTTAGAAGTTTGAGAAGTAAAATGAAAGTTATTATGGAAATACAGTGAGATTGAGATATTACTTAAAGATTTATATGACTAGAAGTTATGGTAAGGTATAAAAGGAAGTAGATTTTGCAGTTTTAATACCTTAACCAGAAATAGAAGAATAACCCTAAACACCATTAAAATTAGAAGTATTATATAAATATAATAACAGGTTGGTATAGAGGAATGTTTGCATATTGATTTCGAATATTTTAAGAGTAAATATCATTTAAGAGATGTGGTAACAGGAAAAGTCAACTTTTATTTGGTTAAAATCAAAATTAAATATATGGAATTAGCAGTTATTAGAAAAGAATAATATGGTCAAGGACAATAATAATAAACAGATAATGAAACTTTAGTCAAATATGAATTGATGGATGGTTGTCCATAAAAAGGAGAAGTCATACCTATTCGATTATATTTAAGTGGAGTTGATATTACTCCATCAGTTAAAAATGTTAATGGTAAATTCAGTGTTAAATACATACTAAATTTGATTTTAGTAGATGAAGATGACAGAAGATATTTTAAATAATAAGAAATAACAATCTATAGAAAGAAATGATATAATATATTATCATAAAATATCTAAATAAATGTAACATAAACTATTATTCTATTATCTAACTATCTCACTTTAATATTATATATTTTTTATATATTCATTCTCATTTCTTATATTGAATTAAATTATCTTTCAAATTTCTCTCATTATACAATATAAATCTATTCACTTAAAACTAAGATAAATCTTTTTTTATCCTCTCCAAATATATTTATATTAGAATATGTATATTAGTTTTTATTGTTAAATATAGTAATACTTCTAATCTGATACAAATTAATAATCATTTTCATTATTTTTTATTACTTAAAAAATATATTATTAAATCATTCAATTTATTTAATAGTAGTTACTTTTTATTTATTCTTGAGATTATGGATCAATTTATTACTTTTTTTAAAAATGATTTTATTTCTTTTTGAAATTATCAATTCTGTATTATTTAATTGAATAAGATTAGTAATCAATTTCTTATTAAAAATAAAAATTACTAAAGTTAAACCTTGCAATTTTGTTAGTTTTTTAATCAATACAGTAATTAGTGATTTATTAATTACATAAGAATGAATTTTGTGCTTAAATTGTTTTATTTATAAGTTTTTTCAATTTGAGAGTTCAATATATCATTTAGAGACTCATTAATTTTAATAGAAATAATTATTGATTTAGTTATTTATTTTCTAATTTTAAATAATCAATAAGTCATTATTAATTACTCCAAATATATTTATATGTTATAATTTTTTGATAATAATAATTATATTAATGATAAAGAATATATGATAGTATGAGCATTAAATAATATAATCCAAAAATGAATTTGATTTATAATATATATGTATAATTCATATAATTTCTGTCTCTATCACAAACATATTGAATATTGCTAAAAAGACACTATGTTTAGCAACTTTTTCTTTAGATATAATTTTTAATCCTTCTTCTTTGAGCATGAGTTCAAAATCCTTTTCATAAGTAATGCTGCCAAAATCAATAGTTGTGAAATATTTTAGATAAGGTTTGATTTTTTCTATTATTGCTGTTTTATAGTTTTTATATGGCTCTAAAGTCATTAAAAAAAAGATAGAACCACCCTTACTCAATCTCTATTTTGCAATTCTTAATGCTCTGATTCTGTCAGGCATTATCATGAAAGATGAAGAGAAGATCAAAGCTTCATATTGTTCCTTTGAGTTTTCTAAATCATAAAAGTTTTGTTCTCTAATCTCAACATTATCATTCTATTTGAATGTTTGTCTTGCATATCTACAATTTCTTATTTTTTTATTTTACCTCAAATAATTAGTATCAATATCTATTCCAACTACATGAATTCTTGAAGGAATTCTATTTATAATCTATTTCATAGGATGTCCTGTGCCTACTCCTACATCCAAAATTCTTTTTACATTTGCCATCTTTTTTTCCAATCTATCGCACATCATTACGTATGTCCATCTAATACTTATTTCTTATTATACTTTGTGTAATATCTGCTGTACAAAAAGTTATATATGTACACAGGTAAATAACTCAATATATTGAACAATAATCCAATAATTTTTGTAAACATCTCTATTAAATTAAATTATTAAGGTTGAACAATTCACATGTACATTTAATTGTCAATTTTATAATATTTAACACGTCATTTATAAGCAATTATATAATTAAACTAAGATTAAATTTTTTAATTATTTCTTCTCTTATCATTAAAATCCCGTTCTCTTTATTCTCAATACGATTGTTTATTTTGTTTCATTATATATTTTATTTGTAAAATTTATTCTCAATATCATCTGCATATATTTCTAGAATATTATTATTTATTTTTATATTTATATTTCAGACCCTTTTTTTGTTTATTCACAATAAAAATTATCAATCTGATGATTTTATAGACTATTCTATAAATAAATTGGCTTAAGGAATTAGATTCTCCATAAAAATACAAAATACATTACAAATTAATAATCTAATGGGAGCAGCAGCTTGTAAACAAGATTAAATAGAAATCAAGAATCTTTATTAACTTTATAAACGAGTGAGTCAATAATAACTACCTAATCAAATTTCTAGCGAATTACTTTCTATACGCACAAGAATCATTAAAGATTAAATACCAAAAGAATGTTAATTAATTTACAACATCCTTCATAATAATATTATAGAAGAATCCATTTTAGAAATTCAAAGACTTAAGTTTTAGAAAGTTTTTAATGAAAATTTCTCTAAAATTAAAAATGATAGATAATATTAACTATTTTTAAGAAGTTTCAGATTTTTTAATTTCGAAGATCTAAGAAAATACATTAAAATAGATTTTTATAAAAACAATAACTTTATTTCTGAGATTCTTAACTTATTTTTTACAATTGATATTTACTGTAAGAAGATTAGTTTATTTTTATCCAGAATAAGTCCTAAATATTATTAATTTTTCTATTCTTTATTATGGAAACAATATAAACAAAATATTGATATCTTGAACAATGTTTACCTTTTGAGTTTTATGAATAATAATAATGAATTTAAAAATATCCCTTTCAATTTTACATTTTAAGAATTTATGTATAAAGTATGGGGAAACAACATCTAGCCTTAGTTAAATAAAACTTAAATTAGTTAATTGTTACATTGTTAAAAAAATGAATAATTGATTCAATATTTTAACGATTTCATAGAAATCTCTATTAATGAATATCAATTAAATTATTCTAGGAATATTGGACTAACTAATTCAAAAGGTTTTTAAAATTTTCTTAAAGTACTTATAGAATTATTAAATGAAGAATTTGATAGAGAATATGATAAAAATATAGAAAAAATTCTAAATTTTGTTCAAGAGAATAGATTTCTAAATTAGATCTTACATGAATAAATACTCATTCATTATATATATCCATCAGTTTTTTAATACATAGAAACTCATCTAACTTTAATATTAAAAGAATAATTTTAATCTACAAAAAAATATTTATTAGAATAGATAGTTTAAGATAAAGTGTTAAATAATACTTTATCGAAATTACTTTTAGATGAAAATGATGAAAATTAAACTAAATCTTCAATAATGTCATCAATCATAACAAATTATACATCTTCGTTGAAAGCAAATTATTACTAAGTTTAAAATTAAGAGGAAACTACATTTTACAATCTTCAAAATAATAAATGGGAATATTTCACAAATATAGAACATTCTAATTGTGTGAATATGATTGAACTGAGTACAAAAGTAGATGAATAAAAACATAGACTAATGTAAAGATCTAGTAAATTATTTAAGAAATTCAATATAGAAAATCTGAAATAATAAGAATTTATTATTTCATATATCAACATTATGTTTGATTACACTTATGAAAATACTAAGGAAGATACATCAGAATTATTACTGTAACTTAACTTGTTTTATTGATTTGTTTATAATTATTATTCTAATTACTTTATTTATCAATCCTATTTCCTAATTTTTGTTATATCTAATTTTAATATTGCACAATAGTAGCTGATTATTAAAAGTTTAAAGTAGTCTTATTCTATGTTTTATTGATTAATTTATGGAAATGAAATTAAAACTTCATTAATCTTTAATAAAGCCAAAGGATCATTTACAATTAATGGATCATCTAATTATTACAATAATTTTTATAGCATTTTCTATTAGATTATAGAAATAATAATATACTTCTAAGAAAGTAATCATTTAAAGTTATGAATTAACCCTAAGATCATACTTTTTATTTGATTATGATTTTTGTTATGAAAATAATGATGTAATGCCTATCATTTCTTCTGATTGAGGTTCAATTTTACTTTATGATATTTACATTTTATTATCTTCAAGTTCAAACAAAGTTGTTTAAGTAGTAAGTGGATCAAAACATAATAAATATTTAAAGAAAGATGTTTAATTTTCTTAAATTTCTGATTCAGTTAAAGTTTACAATTATTTATGAAGTTTTAAATAATTATGAGGATTGTTATCTGTGATATACCATCCTATAATAATAGTAATTAATTAAACCTACAATATCTAAATTTTTAAAGAGATTCCATTTATCTCCTTTTAATCTTAATTATTATCTCTCTTTTAGAAATTCAACTTCATTTTAATTGAGTTCATCTTTTCCTGAATAACTGATCTCAAATGAATCAAAAATATCAGTCTTATTAATTTTGGCATTGAAAAAGCCTAACAAAATACCAGCATGAATAGTTTTGCTAGGAAAATTGACTTTGTTAGCCAAAATTTATGAAGAAATGCTTAATAGCACTTATGGATGTACATTAGTTTATTACATTTAATTTAATAATTTATTTTAATAATGTTTTCAGATAATTAAATAAGTCTCTTTAAAAGAAACTCTAAATTTTAACCTTAATTAACTTAAGTTGAGAATATTAAGCCATTAATTGATACAACAAAATTAATTAAATATTCTGATCCTATTCACAAAACACTGTTTGAATATTAACAATATAAAAAAAACTTTAATCAAATGAAATAATCAAAAATGAAAAAAATATAATCAAAATCAGTTGATAAAACAACTAGATAAATAATTAATAACAATAGTTAAATGTCTTCATCAGTTGATTATAAAATGAAATCAAGTGGACATAATTTAAAATATAATTAAAGCACTTAAAGTGTAATATCTGAAAGTAGTATTGCTAAAAAAGGAGTTATATACGAGGGTAGTAATACCTAAGTATATAGAATATTAATAGAAGGACATTTTAATTACTATGCCCTTAAAATAAGTAAAGTTAATATGAATAAATGCACAAAAGAAATATATTATCTTAAATAATTAAGACATCCTAATATAATAGAATTAAAACATCATTATGTAATTTATGACAAAACTAATGTATAATCTCTTACATTATATAGGATAATAGACCTATGTTATATGAGATTATGCCTTTAATGAGTTGTAATCTAAGATCCTTCTTATAGTAATTCTATAAACACTAAAATGTGTAAGAGAATACTAAAGTAATAGATCCTAAATTTATTAATCAAGCTAAATAAGAAAAGAAAGCTAAACAAATCTTATTCAAATTATTTATTTATTAAATTGTTAGAGCAGTATCTTATTTGCATCATAAAAATATTACTCATAGAGATTTAAATCCCAGAAATGTATTGATTGATGTAGATTCACTAAGTGTCTAACTTTGTGATTTCAACAGCGCTAAATAATTATTTACATCTATACCTTCTCCAAATTATATTGGTGAAAGAAATTATAGAGCACCTGAATTATTATTAGGTTCTAAATTATATAATTAGTAAGTTGATATTTGGAGTTTGGGTTGTATTATAGCTGAATGTTTTCTAGGTAAATAATTATTTAATGGAACTAATACAGTTGAAACTATGGCAGATATTATTAGATTACTTGGAACACCTACTCTATAAGAAATGAAAAATCTCAGATCTTCAATCTTAGATCTCAAAATGCCAGAAATTCCTAAATTTCCTATGGCTAAAAGATTTTCAGAAATTGAAAATGATTAATTAGTTGATTTATTAGAAAAAATCTTTGTTTATGATCCCAATTAAAGAATATCTGCTTTTGATATTCTACTTCATCCTTTCTTTTAAGAATTAAAATAACCAAATATCAAAATCAATTCCAAATCTTTACCTAATCTATTTAACTTTACAAAAGGTATTTTATTATTATCTATTTTTTATTTTAGAAGAATTATAATTAAATGAATATCAAACTAATAAAAATAGATTAATACCTAATTGGTTTACAGAAAAATAAAAAAGATTTGAATATCTAACCACAAGTATGGATGATGCTAAATTATTATTAAATAAATGATTTTCATTAATATTATTTTATTTCATAATCTCATTTAAACACAAATATATTTTGATTCAAACAAATTTATCTTTATCATCTTCAAATGTGAAATTTTAGGCAAAATGTTTTATCACTATAAACATTATCAAACAAATAGATAGTATTGTAAATTAGTAATTATCAATATTAAATTAGAAAATTACATTATTCTATTAACATGTTTACTTAAATTCATTCAATAGTTCTTCTATCGCTGTAATATGTTAATCAAACAATAATTATGCAAATTCAGAGTTATTACTGATTATCCAATTATCAATCCATGTTTAGATTTAGTTAATTTATTGAAATTTATTATTTATTTATTTAAACTAATCGTAATCTCTAATAGATGATATATATTCTTGTAAATCATTACACTAACTTTTATGAGTTATTAACTTTATTACTTCATTAGTAAAATTATACTATTATTGAAATTCTATGAATTCTAATTTTTAAGAAAACTCTTTGATGTACTTAACTGGGTTTGTTGAGAACAATATATTTTAAGTTAAATATTTATCTACTTTATGATGAATGAGAATATAAAAAGAATCAGTAAAATAATATTTTTTCAATTCTTCATACTATTCTTTTAATTCGTTATTAGTAAACATATTTTAATATTGATAGTAAACAACTATAGCTTAATTTTTTATATATGTAATTTCTGGATTTAATTTTGTTTTACCATATGAAAATCTCGTGTCATTGTAATAATTAGAAAAATTAGAATTTAAAATATTCTTCTTAACATTTTAATCTTGCAAATTAGGTATATAATTGTGATTAGTTCTTATTAATTATCTATTTAAATAATTTGGTAACCCAATCTGAAAATGATAAATTAATTCTTACACTATTTTATTAATCTAATATTAAAAATGTGTGGGTATATATTTATGCTTTGATCAATGCAAAATATAATATTAATAACATATTATTAAAATGTTTTAATAAAATAATACAATTCAAATAGTATCATTAAAGGTTAACAAATTTGAGTTTCTTATTTTTTGTTTTTAAAATAAAGGTTTAATCATCTTTACATACAAAATATACCAATTAGGAGTTCTATTTACCCTAAATTATAACCTCTAATTAATTGATTTATATGTCATTCTTCGAAGCTGAGAGGATTATCATCTTTCCATCCTTTAGTAATAAACAAATATCACTAATAATATACAATTTCCATTTTTAAATCTGATTCTATAATTTAACTATAAAATAATACTTTTTATTCTTACAGTATAATAGGAGTACAATAATGATTAAAAAGATTATACAATAAATTTTCATGAAATTAATCACTCAATTTAACAATTTATTTTGATTGTAATTATTCAATAATCTATTAAATAAATTTGGAACTCAAATTATCACCATTATTAATTTTTTAAATATTTTAAAAGAAACATTTGAAAGCATTATCTTTTTCATATTTATTATTTTCAATATCTAAAATAACAAGAGCAAAAGTGAACATATGTAAGGATTCCTCAGATTTGAATGGAAATTATTAACATTTTGAATTGTTAAAATTAAATTCATAAAATCTTCGACTAAATTCTTTAACTAAAATATCAAGTATAAAAGGATCATTTTAAACTAATAATTTACTAAATAAGCTTTATAATGAATCAATAAGATTTTCAGTCATAACTACTTTATCAACAAATAATTTTAAAATTTATGATTATTCTTATAAATTGATATTACATAATAATCTAAAATTATAATATGAATATTACTTGGATATTTGAGCTTTGTTCTTTAATTCAATATCTTAGAATAGCCAATTAATGATAGATTAAGGAGTTGGTTTAATAATTGAAGTAGCTATCATAAATGATAAACCTAGCATAGAAGAATGATTGAATAAATCTAAAGCAAGATTTTCAGAATTGTAATCATTTTTAATAATTTTAACTTAATCAAGTAAGTTGACAAGTTCTTTAGATTCATTTTATCTTAATACAAGTTGATTTAAAGAATACTAAATATTATAAGCATGATTACCATTTCATCAAAAAATTTAGGAATTGAATTAGAATGAGAAATTAAATTACGATTAATTTTGGAAGATAATTCTTTATAACAATCCTAAATTTCATTATATTCGTTTCCTTCTGAAATGTTAGATCTACATTAAGAATCTGAATATCCGCAATTTTCTTTTTCTTATTAAATTAATTTAGTTGGAGATATATTTGAACTGATTATTTTTCCTTATGATACTTTTTCATTTAAACTATTACAATCTTGATTTTTTCTAATTAATAAAAATAAATTATACAATCTTTATTATTTTAGAAATTAAAAATATTATTCATGTTATCTTGAAATAGGATCAATTTTTTTTTATTATCTTTCACTACATAAATTTTATTAGATAAAACTAGATTTAAATATTTCTGATGTCATTTTATCTCTAACTAAATCTTAAGCAAGATTTCCTTCTCGATTTCTTATTTTAGGATCAGCACCTGCTTTAAGTAAAACCGAACAAACATGAGCTCTTTAATAAAATGCTGCCACATGTAATGCTTAAATTTAGACAATTATATCTACGAGTCCATCCTGCCATATCTGTAATATCAATATTTGCATTATTTTTTATTAACTCTTCAACTACTTATATTGATCCATATCTTGATGCTATATGTCTATAATAAAATTAATATAATTTCTATTCTTACAATGGAGATGTTCTATCCTCATCCAAAATATTGATATTTACTCCATTATTTAAATAAAATCGAATTAATCCTAAATTACGTCCTGATGCTGCCTTAAAAAAGTTCTTCTCATTTTCTGTTAAATAAGCTGTAGATTATTATGTTATTCGACCTTTAAAAATAATCTAATTACATACCTCTAGCTTTATCTACATCTATTCCTATTTGTAATTCATTTGGATCAAATGTTTCGTTGTCTTATGCCATACATCCTAAACAATTTGCAGGATTTCTCCTTTTATGTTAAATTGTATTTCCCATTATTTAGTAATTTTATTAATTTATATATAACTTTATATAAAAAAATCATTTAGTAAGTTTAGGGAAAATCCAACTCAGATTAACATTCTCAACATTATATATTATGTTTTTTGAGTTGTTTTTGTTAATATTCTATTATCTTTTTTAGTTGAATAATCTCTTACTTTAATTATTATTCTGTTATTTATTACTTTTTTTAATTGATTTCATAGGTATTGATGATATCCTTACTTTTTATTAATAATTTTTTTAATTAAGATTATAATTTTTGATTAACTGTGCATTCATCCTCTTAAAAAGGATTTACAGATTTTGGTTATATTTTTTCTATTATTTTATTACTACTGTTAGATTTTTAATTTTTTTTTGATAATCTTTAATTATAACTAGTGCTGTTGGTTAAACTTATTGTTGTTGATTAACTTGATATTTTATGAGCATGATTAGCTTTTAATTCAATTTATGTAGATTCAGTTTTACATCTACTATCATTTGTACCTTCTCCTTTTTGTAGACTTCTTGATTAATTTACAAAAAATTCATGGAAACTATTTAAATTACCATAATTTAGCATAGTAGGTTAACTGTTTTATGTACGATGTGTTGCCATCTTTATTTTAGGTGTTCTTACTTGTACTATTAACATTAATAAATATTTTGAAATTAAAAATATTTATCATTCTAACTAATAAATGGTTTATTTAATGTTTAGAAATTATGATAATGTAAAAATATATAATGAAATGTATTAAAGAATTATGTATTAAGTATTAAATGCATTTTTATTGTTATACTGCGATTTATTTTACATAAATTAAAGATATAAATTTTTTTCAAATTCATTCATGGGAAGAGTTAGAAATAAGACAGTTAAGAAGGCAGCAAAAGTCCTAATTGAAAAATACTATATGAAACTCACTTCAGATTTTCATTTCAATAAAAAGATCCTATCAGAAGTTGGATAAGTGCCATCAAAAAAATTGAGAAATAAAATTGCTGGATTTGCTACACATCTTTTGAAGAGAATTTAAACTGGATCTGTTAAGGGCATCTCACTTAAAGTAATGATTTCATTTCAAAGTATAGATTTAAGAAGAGGAAAGAGAAAGAAGATTAGATTACGTTCCTGAAAAATCATCTATTGATATTGATAATCTTAGAGGTGATTAAGATGTTAAAAGAATGCTTGAAAAAGCTGGTTTGGAAATTGATATTCCCATTGATGAACCTGTTGTTGAAGAAAAATAATAAAAATAACCAAGAAGAGGATAAAGAAGATAATAATGATTCTGAAAGTACATTTATTAAAGTAATAAGCATAAAAAATACATCTAATATTTATTAATCATAATGCAGATTTTCTTTTTATTTCATTCTCTGTTTATAGTCTCAATTAATTTAGTAAGAAAACTTTTTATTCATTTACAAAATTTGTATTTTCATCATCAAATGTATTAAGTCTTTTTGATTTTTATCTTTAAGTTCCTTACTATTGTTATTCTTCTTGTAATTTTGCATTTTGATTAGTACCACCAGTACTTTCAGCAAAATTACATTCGTTATGATTATAATAAAAATTTTTAAGTAAAATTTCTTTAGGAAAATTTTCTAATAAATTTAATTATAATGGTCTGATTTGTGATAGAAATTCATTTTCTCCTTTTCCAAATTCTTCCTCATCAAAATTAAATGAAAAAAAATCAGGTTTAAAAGGTGGTTCAATTTTCTTCAATAATAAATCTTTATACAGATTTTTCTCACTCCATTAAGTCATCCATGGATGTTTTAATAATGAATCAATATTATCTATTCTTTTTTTAGGTGTTTTAGCTAATAAATTACTTAATAAATCTTTTAAGAGTGATGACATTGGTATTTAAGAAGGAAAACTTAATTTTTAATTAAGTATTTTCTAATATATTTCATCAGTATTCCTTGAATAAAAAGGTGGTAAACCAGTTATTAATTCATATAATAAGGCTCCTAAACAATAAAGATCCAATTAAAATGTATGACCTTATTTTAATAACATTTCAGGAGCCATATATTCAGGTGATCCACAAAATGAATAAGCTACATCTTCATTTTCCATATGAGGTTTAGATAAACCAAAATCAGCAATTCTAACATGACCATCAAAATCTATTAAAATATTTTCAGGTTTGATATCTCTATAAATTATATTATTATCATGTAAATTCTTCATTCCCAAACAGATTTCTGCAAAATAAAAAAATGCTTCTTCTTCACTCATTCTTTTAACCTTTATTTATTGAATATAAATACTTTTCTAAGAAGATAAAATAATTCTCCTCCAGAACAATATTCTAATACGAAAACTAAATATCTTCTAGACTCAAATGCATATTACATTTTAACAATAAAGGGATGATTTAAATTAAACATAATATCTCTCTCATTTTATATAATATTTTATTTATTTTATTACATGATAGGCTTTTTTTCAATAAGTTTCATAGCATAAAATAAGCCTGTCTTTTTTTCTCTAACTAAATAAACTTTAGAGAATCCTCCTACACCAATACATCTAATAAATTCAAAATCTTTCAAACTAACTTTACATTATTTCAATTCTTATTCAACATTTAAAAATGGTTCAATAATTAAAGGTTATACAGGACAATTTGATAATAGAGATAAAGGTCTTTCAATTTTGGAAAGTATATAATCTACTGGTATTGAAATATTCCCTGTTTTTATCCCAATTATAGGTTAATATGAATTTCCAAAATTATTCATTATTTCTTATTTTATTGTTTCTAAAAGCCAAGATATATTATTTGTCGAAATATCAATTGTCATTTTTTATTTAAATTATTTATATTAAACTATTATTGTTATGAATTCTTATTAATATTTCCTATTTTTATTATTTTATTATATACCTAGTAGTAATTGGTTTTTTTTTATCAGATGTAAATTCTATTAAAGGTTAAGAACTAGCATGAGTTTAAAATTTTTATGTTTCAATAAATTATGCACTATTTGATTTTTAATGAACTTTTAATTAACCTTCTAATTATCCTAAGGTTGGTACTTATTGTAATTAATTTTTTGCACTCTATATAGCTGAAGATTTTTGAAAATTCAATCTAGATACAAGATCTATTGATTATTTTTATTTTATTTCTTAAATTGCTTATGAAGCTTTTTATTTTAAATTTTAATCTGCTTTACTAGATCCAGAGATTGGTATTGCTTTTAGAATATCTTATTAAAATAGTTGTTTTGGTGCTTTGAAATATTAACTATATTTCTTTACATGTAATCGGATATTCATCTAATATATTATCTATGGATTTAATTTTTGTTTAAGAATTTTAATGAGATTAAGGTTGTGTTTTCATATGATTTCCATTACTATTAACTTATATTTTCTAAGTAATTTTTTCTTAACTAACTATTTTGGGTGACATGAACCCTCTCTATTTAAGCACATTTTATTATTATATTTTTCTTGAATTTTATCTAAATATTGTGTTTAATTACTGTTATTGTGATATTTTTAGGTTTGGTTAAGAACTATTTGATTTCAACAAAGGACTTTATTGAGGACCAATTTATTTCTTTTTTGAGTACAATAATTTATACTTTTTACTCCAATTAAAATGTTGGAGAATTCGACATTCTAATATTTAGAGCTTCTCTAGTTGATAAATAATTCATTAATGCCTGATTTGATAACTCTGTTGATTATGTTTTTTAGTGTTATTTCTTTGGGAGCATAACTTTAAGTTAGTTATTATTAAATAATAATAAATGGTAAATATATTGCAAATCATTTATTATAATAAAATTATATTTGTATTAGCTATTAATAAGATCAATGAATTTATTATCCACATAAACATTTCAAAACTTAATCTTTATATTTTATTAATTCTAATTTCTTTTTCTTTAAACAAGATTAATGAACTTTATGTTTGCACTAAATCTCAGTAAGAATTTCTTCAATTTAAGTTTAGCAAATAAAACAAAAATTTTATAATTCGTAATCAGTTCTTACTTCTTTTAATTTCTTGAATTAAACATTTTTATCTGATAAGAAAGTAAGCATTGGAATTTCGCAAATAAAACAACAAAAAGATTTAAATAAAAAGAGATTTTTTTCAAAACAATTCAAATGAATATAATGTTGACAATCCAATAATTTTAGAACATGGTCATATTTATGACAAATAATACATTCAACATTTAAGTTAATTTTAGTTTAATTATTCATCAATTTTCCGCAAACACACTTTGATTCACCAAGTTTTTCAGTGTTGATTAATTCAGAAGCACATAAAAGGTGTAAAGAATGATTACAATCATTCATTTTGATGAAATTTGAAAAGAGTGGTGAATGACATTTTTGACAGAAATCACAATTGAAACATAAAGGATTACTATTATCTTATTCCATATTCTCTATATATAAGAATCCACAATTATTTTTACAAAATTAAGTGTTGTATTTTGAAGATTATAAAATTCTCATTAGTTGATTTTGATGAATTTTGTTTACATCTTATTTTTAATAGATTAACTTAGATTTTGATTTCTATGAGATATAATCAGATTCTAATTATAAATCTGATTTATCAAATACTTTAACACTATATCGTTATTAGCAATAGCATATAGATCTCAATGAAATTTAATAGAATTAAAATAATTCCTATTTATTCCAATAATGACCACAAATTAATTTAATCCATCCTTTATTGGATTTTTTTGGTGTTACAAAGTTAGAAACAATTTAAGGATAGATTTATAGTTTTAGAGGAATCTAATTTTCATCAATGCTTTAACAAATCTACTCATTATATAATCTCATTCTATTACAAACATCACAAAAATATTCTTTACTTTAATTAAAATTGAATTAAGGCACATAAATAAAAAAAAAGCAACATTGTTTACCAGAACAAAAAACAAATTGATAATTCTTATTATTTTATTGATAATATAATTAGGGTATGATTCTTACTTATTCTTTAAGAAAAAACATATGTGCATTTTAATCAATTAGGTTTAACTTACCAATATGATTATTACATTAACATAATTTAGACTCCATTCTCTTTTCAATAAGACAACTCATATGATAATAATGTCCACATTTAGCTTAAAGTAAATTTAAATTATATTTTCCACATTTGTTACAATTTTAGTTTCGAAAACAATTTTATGTTCTAATAGTATCCTCAAAAGGTAAAATAATGGCAATACTATTTTCACAACCCATTATTATTAAAAATATAAAGACTTAAAATAAATAATAAGATATTATTAAAATTTTAAATGATTCTAAATTGGAATGATATATAATTAGCAGCTGCTGGAGGATTGCTAATAGGATTAGCAACTTCGATTCATTATTTATTAAAAGGAAGAGTAACAGGTTTTAGTGGTATATTTTATAGTTTAATCACATTTGACAAAAATAGTTTCTATTGGAAATTATCATTAGTGTCAAGTGTTGTATTATCATCATCATTATTATACAAATATTATGGGTAATATATATTTTGTAGATTAGATTCAATCCAATTTTATAAGGAGCATCTTCAAGTTTTGATTCAATTAATTCAATATCTAAAATAGGATATATAGGTGCAGCTATAGCAGGTTTTCTAGTAGGATTTGGTACAAAATTAGGGAATGGATGTACAAGTGGTCATGGAGTTTGTGGTTTACCTAGATTATCATAAAGATCAATGGCTGCAGTAGCATCATTTATGACATTTGGAATATTGACTGCCACTATAAAAGATTAATTAGTATTAGAATAACCTACTTAATTAATTATAGATAATCCAGATATTACTAATATTGCAGCTATGGCAATTAGTGGAGTATTCTTATATTATATTAATTTATTAAAGATCTTGACTTTAGTGGGAATTATTGGTTAAACTAAATAGAATTAAAAAACTATGATTGATGCTATTATCTCATCAATTGTTGGATTAATATTTGGAGCTGGATTGGTTGTTTCTGGAATGGCTAAAAGATCTAAAATTTTAGGATTTTTAACTTTCAATTAAAATTGGGATCGTATCTAATATATTTATATCTTAGCTTCATTGATGTTTGTTATGATTGGTGCTGTATCACTTAATTTAATCACTTTTAATTTACTTAAAAAACCTATCTTATCAGATAAATATGAATTACCAACCAACAAAAAAATTGATTTTAAATTAATATTAGGTGCTAGTATTTTTGGAATTGGATGGGGAATTGGTGGATTATGTCCTGGACCAGCCTTTTCTTTATTTCCATAATTTACTGCTTAAATAGCAATAATGTTTTTGCCTTGTTTAGCATTAGGATAAATTACTGCTAATCAATTTAGTTCATTTTTAGACAGAAAATAAAAACCATTGTGAAAACACATTAACAATTTATAAAAATTTAATATTAATAAATCATTTTCTAATTCAAGGTTTTAAATTTTCTAAATAATGATCATCATCTTAATTATAATCATAATCTTAATAATGATCATAATCTTAATTATAATAATAATCTTAATTATAATTATTATTATTGTCAGCATTATATTTTGGAGATTCTAATTATTGCATTTTAGCATCGTCAATATTTAATTATTTTATTTAAAAACATCTCAATTTATGATTTTAATTTGTTATTGTCGGGTCAATAAGACCACAATTCTAACAAATTGAATCTTTATGTTCTATCTATAGATGTTAATCATATAGGGTTTAACTTATTGATTAAAAGCAAATAAAACATTCAAAAACAATATAGCATTCAAGATGATTATCTAATTCATCTTCATTTATTTATTATCCACATAAACAAACAATTTTATCTTAATTATTAAATTTATATACCTTCATTTATAATATTATTCTAGAATTCATTATTATTAAATTAGGGATTTTAGATTTTCACTCTTTTTTACTATTAATTATTTGTGATTGACTCAATTTATTTAGTTTATTCTTGATCAGATAAAGAATCTTCACTGTTTGAAGATTCTTCTTTTTTTTCTATTTCATTATTATCTAAACCTATTTACGATTCATTATCATAATCATTATGATTATTATTTATTTTTTTACTAATTTCATTTTCATTTTGATCAACTAAACTTTCATATTATCTATAATTGTTATTTTCTTTTAGCATTTTATTCTCTTTATTTTCATCTAGATGTACTAAATCAAAAGAATTACTTAAATTTTAATGATGTTTTTCTTCTTCTTAATAGATTTATTTATCCATCATTATTAATATTTTTTAATATAAATAATTCTATTATAAATGGATAGGAAAGGAGACAAATAAATATTTATATAATTATTAAAAATTTTGTAATTAGAATATTACTGTAAATATGTTTTTGAAGAGATTATGAAGAATATTAAAAGATGAATTAAATATTAATATAGAAAAATTTAATAATTAATTTTTAACAGAAACATCTAAAAAATGTCGATATAGATAGCTAATTTACCTGAGTTTAGTTATAATTAGATTCCAAAGAGATCATTAGATTTAGAAAACTTCTTTAAGGAATTTGAGATGAGATAATTTTTAGAGGAATGTAATTACTCTGAATAAGAATTATATGTGGAATGTCGAAAGATGAGATAATTTCAATAAAAAAGAAAATTGAAACTAAACAAATATATAAATAGCTATCTAGAAGGGCCATCAATAATAAATGCAGTTTAATTATTACTTTGAATTCAGATTGTGTATGTGTATATATATATATATTAATAATTAATATAAACAGTTAAAAATAATAATAATAATAATAATAATATTTATTGTTATGAAAATGATATAAAAATCATTCTAAACTGATACCTTGTTTTCTCAATGAATCTAAGACAAGTTATTCATAATCTTCTAAAGTGACTTTACCATCACCATCACTATCAGTCATTTGAATCCAAATGGTAACATCTTCTTTAGTTGGTTAATAATCATTCATTCCCATATGTTTATAGGTTTCTTTAAGTAATTCTGGAACCTAAAATAATAAGAATGAATTTACTTCTTCTTCAGTTAAGAATCCTGAACCATCTTTATCAACAACTTTAAAGATTCTTCTAGCTACCTCTAATCTTTCTTATGCAATTCTGGATAACTTTTCTGGTACTCTTTTAACTGGTTAAGCAGGTGGTTAACCAGAAAAATACTTTTGTATTAATTATTCAACGTCTTCACTATGAACTCTTCCGGTTGATTTTCCTAATCATCAATTTCAATTAACTTAAATACTGTCTAAAATAGCTTGGCAATTAGAAACATCTTAAGAAGTAGGATTGAAACCTTTGTTCATAGCTCTATATGCATCAGATAGCATCATAGCTATTTCATTTTATTCAATATATCCATCTTTATTTGAATCATATAATTCCATCACTTATTTTGCTATCTATTTGCATTTCTCTGGTTCAAATACTCCTCCAAATTACACTCTATCTGATAATTAATAACCAGAATTTCTAAGCTTATTACTATCCATTATTTATATAATTGTATTTTATTTCTTAATATATCCAATATATAATACATTATTATATATCATTTATTATAAACAAATACAAACATTTTAAAATCATATCCTTAAATTAAACATAAATTCATTAACATACTTAAGACAACTATCTTTAATTAAATCCTATTAATTAATTGCAATCAAGATATTCATGTCTTCAAACATTAATTACTTTTATTATAACATTATTATGATTAATAATAAATATTATAAATATATAATATTACTGTTTTACATAAGATATTTTTATTTTGAATTACCAAAATTACAAACTTAACTCTGTTATTCTTATTATTATAACAAATTATCTAAATTCTAAAAAGAAATAATGTATAATAAAAGAATCTATATTATAAAATAGAAAATGACAAATATATTATACTTTATATAAATTATATTTAATTTAAAAAAGATATTCAATGGTATTTAATATATAGTAATCTCTAGCCAAAAGCTGCTAAAACTAATAAAACTAAGAAATTATAAAAGAAAGTAGCTGAAAGAAAAAAGAATCCACTCTTTGTTAAAGAAGCTAAGAACTTTAGAATTGGAAATGATATTCAACCAAAAAGAGATTTATCTAGATATGTCAGATGGCCAAGATATATCTTACTTCATAGATAAAAAAAGATTTTATTACAAAGAATCAAAGTACCTGCTGCAATTCATTAATTCAGCAAAACACTTGATAAGAATTAATGTAATCTATATTTTTTTATATCATTAAGCATCCAAAGTATTGGCTTTATTAAAGAAATATTCACCAGAAACTAAAACTGAAAAAAAATAAAGATTAACTAAATTAGCTGAATAAAAAGCATAAGCATAAAAATCAGAATCTAAAAAAGTCTAAGTCCTCAAATTCGGATTAAATCACGTCACTACACTTATTGAAACAAAAAAAGCTAAACTTGTAGTCATTGCTTATGATGTTGATCCAATTGAATTAGTAGTTTGGTTACCATAATTATGTAGAAGATAAGAAGTTCCATTCTGCTTTATTAAAAGTAATTAATATTCATTAATCTTTAGATAAAGCAAGATTAGGAACATTAGTTCATTAGAAAACAGCTACTTGTGTTGCCCTAACTGAAATTAGAAAAGAAGATTAAGCTGAATTTGATAATTTAGTAATATTCTTAAATATAGTAAGGCAAGAGATTTGAGATAACATTATAATGAAAATCATGAATTATTGAGAACTATTGGAGGAGGATAAGTTGGAATTAAATCAAGACATTAATAAGAAGCATTAAAGAAAGCATTAGAATTAGAAGAATTAAAAAAGACATCCTAATGAACATGTTTACATTAATAAAATAGTATATTAATAAATTTATTATTATTATTGAAACATCCTTATATCTTTATTTGAATATATTTTCAAAATTAATATTCAATAATACCTTTTTGATCTCCAAATTAACAAAACAAATTTATAAACAGGTATAATGATATTGTAGCTAATAGTATAACAATAAAAAATATATTTTATAAGGTTTAGACTAATATTCTTAGATTAGTTTATTGTTATAATGCAGATTAAAATATAGAAAATAATATTTAATTTATATATATTAAATAAAGACAGCTCAGTTGTGATTTTAATTCATATTGAATCATATATCCGTTCTGATTATGTGAAAACATAATCATTGTCATCATTGCAGATAATATTTTATTTTATTAATAAATTAGAATTATTATTATATTACTATATAATGTCAATTCAATTTCAATAATAAATTAAAATAATGCATTTTCAATCAAAGAATATATCAATAATTAGAACAAGAAATAAGTTTAAAATGAAAAAAATTCAAATTATTAGAAGAGGTATTGATGTAATAAAAATGAATGTATTAAAAAAAACTTTATTCAAAAACAGAAATAAGGATGGTTAAAATATAATTAAATTTCAAGAGTTTTGGAATGTTTTTAAGAATTAAATTTGAAATAATCCTTTAATGAGAAAGAATCAGAATAGCTAGTAATAATAATCAATTCTAATTTAAGCTATTAGATTATAATTAACCTTTATTCTATAACAGATTTCAGTAAAGTATTAAGTTTACTCAAAATTTATACTAAAGAGTTAAGAAAATAAAAAGTAAACTAAAGAACAGTGATTGCTTCTGTTGAGAAACTAAGATATTTAACAATCTCAAGTTATCTCAATAAGAATTAATCTTCTATTTAGATTTTAGTTTTCAAATCCACATTCTACTTATTTTATGATTAATTATTTAAACCTCTTAGTCTAAACTATCTGAATAAGAAAATACAAAAATATATTGTTCTAATAATTGGTATTTTTAGTTCTTTCAGATTGTAAATTTATTAAATTATCATGATAAATTATCTAATTCTTTAAAGAGTAATACGGGATATTTTATCCTGAAATACTTAATTTATTATATACTATTATGCTTAATTTAGAAAATATATAATTTCATTCTATTTTCCATAACTTTTTTAATCGTTTATCAAAAGAAATTCCTAAGCTATATTTGATTTTTAAGAAAAAATGCAATTAATCACGACCTATATTCTTTAATGTATAAGAGAGTTAAAAAATTATGAACAATAATTAAATAAAATCGTTTCAAGATTTTTATAAGAAATATCGAAAAATGTTTCTTAAAAAAGGTATTATCACTAAAGATAGATAAAGAATAAAACAAATTATATAAACTGCAAGGAATGATTTATAATTAATCATTAAGAAACTATTCATAAAAGATAGAATAGATTTTTTCAAACTTTTGAAGAAAACAATAATTATGCATTGAACTCGTAAATTGGGGGCTTTTTTAATTTTTATTTAGATTTTTCAAACATTTTGAGAATAGGATAAGACACATTTATCAACTGTATCACTATTTTAAAATTTTATTCAAAATTAGATAATTATAAACCTCTACCATTACCTAATCTCCCTGATCTAAATAAAAATTAAATATAAAATCTCTAAGAATGATAACCTCAGATAAAGCAATATCATATGATGGAATTACATATCAATTCTTCAAGAACTGCAATTTAAAAGACTTTTGATGTTAATAAAAAACTAGGCTGGGCTAAATTAATAACATTAAATAAAGTACACCCGGATATACCTAAGAAAGAATTATTTAGACCTCTAGTTATTTTGAGTCCATTATTTTAACTCTTGGAACTAAGATTTTACAATTAATTATAAAAATATATGAAAGCATTTGAAACCTTAAACTACATAATTGAACATATACATGCTTTTAGATTGGTCTCTAGTGCCTACAATCCAATTAAAGGAGATAAAATTTATGAAGTTCTCAAATTTGATAGAATACTTTAATCAGATGAAGCTGATTTTTTCAAAGCGTTGCACAGCAGGATCCTATTTATTACTACATACAATAAGATATAAATGTTTTAATTTTCTCAGGGCGTTCCACAAGGTTCGCCAATAACTCCAGCATTATCCTGTATTACTATAATTATTATTATTATATTAGATTATATAATTTCCAAAAAAAGACCCAATGTGATTTTTCGATGAAAAAAATTAATAATAATTTTATTTTACTATTAATTATATTAATTTTATTATCATACATCTAAGAGGATGGATTTTTGAAGAAGAAATTCAACTAATTTGTAAAATAAAAAAAGTAGATTATACAAAGTTTTCAAATAAAATAAAATTAAAATAAACATAAAATCATAATAACAATCTTGCAGATTCAGCTTTTAGAAATAAAACTAGTTAAATTTACATAACTTGTTTATAAATCAAGCGATAGAATAATACAAAATTAAATTGGCTGGCTTCAAGAAATATTGAATTATATAAATTCAGATTTCAATAATTTGAATGAGATTAATTAGAATTTAATGTTTAACAAGAAATTTTGGCAATATTTGCTATGAGCCTAATTAAAAGGTCATCTATTTCTATATAAAATTATCACATTTATTAACCTAAGACTAATTATAACATAAATAAATTGATTGATAATTGTTATTTATATAGATGTACATTTATGCTATCATTGAAGATGCACTGTTTCTGCATAATTTATTAAAAATCTCATATGAGTACTTGAAGAACCTGCATGAAAGACAGCACACTTTTCTATTATTTATTTAAGTTTTACTTAGACATTCTGTTTCTGTCTCATTGGTGTCTCTTTTCAATTGTAAGGCTCCACATCTCTTTGAACAATCTTTTGTTGCTCTTACCATTGCATATAAAGCTTGGGCACCAACTCCCCAATCTATTTCTTATTCCTCTGACATTTGATTTATATTTTAATTAATATTAAGTACATATTCTTAAATATTAGTACATATTCTCAAATGCATAGAAATGTTACTTCATATTAAAAACTAAAAATACTTCTAACTTATTATTATATCAATAGCTAATTAATATAATAGTTATTTTTTATTCAAATAATGGCTACATTCTTTCATATGCACAATTATTTAAAGTTGATCTCTCAAACTAGATAAATGGTTATGCCAATCTTTTTAAGACCAAAAAAAATTACTTAATCAGCAAATAACAAAGGAGAATATCTCTTAAAAAATAACAAAAGTTCTTGCTTATATTTTTGAAACATATCATTACTTTAAAAAAGATTAAATTAAATATAAAAGAAACGATAAAAATTTAATTCATAATAATGGAAAAAGTAAATAATAAGTGTATTGTAAAATTTCAGTCTTATCTAATGTTTTGATCAGTTTTCAAATCATTGTCATGAATTTTCTTCTTTTCTTAGTTGACTTTATTGATGAATTTAAAAATTTAAAAAGTATTTTAACTCCCTTTTTTAGAATATCAAAAAATTTGATTTTTAATTTTGTGAGAAATAGATGAGGTTCTCTTAAGACGAAAATTAGGGTAGTTGTTTGAACTTTTTAATTCTGGATTATCCTTAAAAAGTAGAACTAATACATCAACAAATAAGGACATAATANCGATAGAATAATACAAAATTAAATTGGCTGGCTTCAAGAAATATTGAATTATATAAATTCAGATTTCAATAATTTGAATGAGATTAATTAGAATTTAATGTTTAACAAGAAATTTTGGCAATATTTGCTATGAGCCTAATTAAAAGGTCATCTATTTCTATATAAAATTATCACATTTATTAACCTAAGACTAATTATAACATAAATAAATTGATTGATAATTGTTATTTATATAGATGTACATTTATGCTATCATTGAAGATGCACTGTTTCTGCATAATTTATTAAAAATCTCATATGAGTACTTGAAGAACCTGCATGAAAGACAGCACACTTTTCTATTATTTATTTAAGTTTTACTTAGACATTCTGTTTCTGTCTCATTGGTGTCTCTTTTCAATTGTAAGGCTCCACATCTCTTTGAACAATCTTTTGTTGCTCTTACCATTGCATATAAAGCTTGGGCACCAACTCCCCAATCTATTTCTTATTCCTCTGACATTTGATTTATATTTTAATTAATATTAAGTACATATTCTTAAATATTAGTACATATTCTCAAATGCATAGAAATGTTACTTCATATTAAAAACTAAAAATACTTCTAACTTATTATTATATCAATAGCTAATTAATATAATAGTTATTTTTTATTCAAATAATGGCTACATTCTTTCATATGCACAATTATTTAAAGTTGATCTCTCAAACTAGATAAATGGTTATGCCAATCTTTTTAAGACCAAAAAAAATTACTTAATCAGCAAATAACAAAGGAGAATATCTCTTAAAAAATAACAAAAGTTCTTGCTTATATTTTTGAAACATATCATTACTTTAAAAAAGATTAAATTAAATATAAAAGAAACGATAAAAATTTAATTCATAATAATGGAAAAAGTAAATAATAAGTGTATTGTAAAATTTCAGTCTTATCTAATGTTTTGATCAGTTTTCAAATCATTGTCATGAATTTTCTTCTTTTCTTAGTTGACTTTATTGATGAATTTAAAAATTTAAAAAGTATTTTAACTCCCTTTTTTAGAATATCAAAAAATTTGATTTTTAATTTTGTGAGAAATAGATGAGGTTCTCTTAAGACGAAAATTAGGGTAGTTGTTTGAACTTTTTAATTCTGGATTATCCTTAAAAAGTAGAACTAATACATCAACAAATAAGGACATAATATAAATAAAATTAACCAGTCGTCCTATAATAGTTGATATTAAAATTAATCAAAAATAGGCCATGATTTGGATAATTATTTGAGTAGTTTACTAAGTAGATTTTGATTACATGATATAATAATTTTAAGTAAATCGAGATTAAGATTTATTATACTATATTTAGTCAGTTATAATAATAAAATGTACAAAAAGAGATTAAAGAGTAATTTAAATTAAAAACCAAAAGTAGAGATAATTACCAATTAATAAAGAGAGTCTTCAAAATTAATATTAATCGATAAATTTTTCCAGAAAATCATCCTCTCCTTATTTATAAGTAAGTAAAAATTAAAACAATTTAAAAATAGCCTATGAATGATTCAATATTGTATTGTATATTGAGGATTATTATATAGTATTAATATTTGAATAAAGGGAAATTTTAGTGTGAAAATTCTTATTTTAAGAATAAGAAAAGTAAAAATTTAAATATTTTTATATATTAATGTACTTAAATAAGAATCATCTTGCTCCTTTACCTTTTCTAGCAGTATGACTAACATATGGTTTTGCATGTGAACCAGGCAATCCAGAAGCCCTGCCGAAATGCTTTAATTCTTCTCTTACTCTTGGTCCTCTCAATAGAATAGTTCCAGTGCCTTTTAGATAATAAATGGAAAATATACCTGTAGGATTTTATTATGCTAATTGATCAAAAGTCAAAGTTTTTCCACCAGCTGCTTGAATTCTCTTTCTAGCTGTTTCTGTGAATCTAAGAGCACAAACATTAATTTTAGGAACAGTGAGTAGACGTACACTAAATGCATCATGATATATATGATTACTCATCTGTAACAGTGCCAACAACTACTAATGTTCTTGTCTTATCTTTAGCAGTATTAATTTATTTCACAAGTCTGCTTACACTTATTGGATATCTGGCAGTTCTTGTTTATTAAAGTCTTCTTAAAACTGTAGCATTGAAATTTGAATCCGTTCTTCTGGCTAAGAATTTATATAACTATAATAAATTCAAGAATCATTACCTTGATCAATAATTTCAAATAAAGGTTTGTTGATGTTACTTTTCTTCCAACATTCCTTTATACTCTTGTCTTTTTATATGCGTCGACTCCCTAACATGATTAATAGTGATATTCATTACCATTTAAAAAATAAATATATCTTTATTTAATTTATGTTATATAAATTCAATTTATCATTATTCATCAATTCAATTCCCCTACTTCTCTACATTTATCTTTCTTTAGCTTCCCTTTTATAAATTAATTATTCCTTCCCCTTGTTATTTTCATTAAACAATAAGCCTTCATATTTCTTCCATGATTTTATCGAAATATTCCAAATCCTTTTTTCTTATCATTTTCACTATTTCTATAAGCTTTCTTCCCACACTCAATTAATATTGCCATCTCAACCAACCTAATTTATTAAGCTGTATTATTATCAATCCAGTACCATTTATAAACATAACCAATGCTTCATTAATAGTTCAGCCAAAATAATAACCTTCATTTGGCCAGAATCCTTCTCCTAACCTTCAATTTTATAATCCTTCCCTTCTCCTTCATATATATCTCCATTATATACATATATAAATGCCAAGCCAAAAGCATAAATTATTTACAAAGTGTCCCTCATCTATATTTTTAATATAAATTATAATCTTTTCCAATAATTGCCATCAATATAAACACGCAAGAATCTTCATCATTTATTTCCTTTATTTTTCAATCTCCCTCATATTTTTTCCCTCAAGAATTCAATGATTCTTTATTATCTCCTCATTCCATTATTCTTAAACCATCTTCCTCTTATTCCCTAACCCATTCTCTAGATCTAAAAGGAAACCAATACTCTATCCTTTTTTTTAAATCCATTGCACTTTAATAATAATTTCAATTATAGACATATTATTTTAAATATATTCTTCTTCGGTTTGTGCAATCACTAAAATATGTTCACTAGTAATTTAAATTATAATTATATTTCTAGTTATTTCTATTCCCCTGTTTAATGCTCTTTTATAAAAATAAGTTGTAAGTTAATATATCTTCTATAAACAGAAAAAAAAAATTTTAACTTAATTTAAATCTTAAAATATTTATAATTATT